AATTCACCCTTTTTCTGAAACTTTTTAAAGATTTTCTGTCAAGATGTTTCTGAATGTTTTCAAAAGTGTTACCGTTTGGAGGCTGAGGTTCAATTCCCGGGACAATGACAGGAGGTTTTTGGGCTCATGACCTTTTCATCCCTCTCACGTCTTTCAAATCTGTGGCTTTAAACAAATTTTTCTTCATGAACGATCTGTCCCACCTGGTCTGAAGCAAATCACCTCCTACATATTTGGATAAATGTAAAACCTCTAAAACTGGTTCCTCCTTCACAGCAGCCGCATCTCTGCTCACACTGAGGGCAGAGGAGGGGCATTCCAGGCCCTCTGAGGGAAGTGATACGGAGCTGAAGAAGAACCTGGTCTACTAAGACCTGGTTCATCTCTCAGTTACAGTCAATTTATCAATTTCATTAACTTCAACAATGGCCATATATGGATCTATATGACATTTTTTCCAAAATATTTAGCAAAAAAAGTTGCACCTCAGGCAGTACGTTAGCCTCAGCAGTTAATCTGGTGTAAAAGTTTTTACAGTGATTAATTTGTCATTAATCAACTTCAGGAAATAAAAAAATTCAAAATATCATTTTAAATTGAGTGGACAGTCCTGCTCCGTACTCTGAGGAACAGTTTCTTTTCCACAGGCTCCAAAACCCATTTCTAACGACCGACGGCCATTAGTCTGGACGTCGCCGCCTTGTCTCCTCACGCTCTCTCCCTGCAGTACGTCGGAGCGGCTGCATCCAATTATTGCAGCATCAATCTCGGACTAACGGTGAACGCTCCATCACTGGGCCCCCGAGCCTCGCTTCCCAAAGGAAACAATTAACTTTTCCTCACAAACAGAATGATGACTTGACCCTTCAGGAGGGAAGAAATGAACGGCTGAAATTATTTCATTTTTTTTTAGAATCACACTAATTTAGACTCACTCTGACTCCTGTCAGCGTCCTGTGTTTTCAGCTGTCTGCTCTTCAGCTGCACAAACTTCAAGTAGGATGAATGAAGTGAATGAAGTAGAGTCTCAGGAGAGACGGGACCAGAACCACAGCCTGACCTCAGACCTCAGATCAATGACAACTCATGTAGATTTGCTGCTAAAGTCTCTGCTTACTGTGATTGTAGTGAGGGACTGTCAAAGTACAAAAAGTCCCCGACTGAACCTCCAATGCCTTCATCAGTCATGGAATATTACAGCTGATAATGGACGGAGAGAGAGGGGGAGGGAAAGCGGGGGAGAGCGAGACAGGAGAACGACCAACTGAAGAGAACTTGAGGTCATCTTTCTTCTTAAACAACTAGATTTTCAATCATGTATCACAAGTACAAAGAACTGTTTCTAGGATGACCCCAGGTACTGTAGGTCAGGACCAATGGAGGAACTGTTTAACAAGATTCAGGACAGAACCCACTCTGAGGTCCCAGACCCTGATGCTGGTTCAGATCTTTGTCTCTGGATCCTCTCCACAAAGGCTCTGAAGGACCTGTTCAAAGGGTCTTCACTGACCCCCTGAGGTCCAGACACAGTGTCAGGTTTGACCCGGGGTCACTGGTTTCCTGGGTGGTCATACAAGCTCCCATCAGTGTCCTGCTGGTGAAGACGTGCAGGTGGAGGTCGGGACGTCTGCCCGGGGTCATAAGGTCACCATCCTGGGCTCAGTGAGGACAGTGTTCTACAAACATTACTCTACTGATCTACAGACACATGTGGGGGTCCCGTGAGGGGGCTGTGACGACAACTGAATCTTCGACTTCAACTCCTTCACTTCTCCTGCTCCTCAGCTCCTGAACACAGGAGGGCATCGTTTTTGTAACACCCTTTCCAGAGCTTGTCAATCACAGATGGCATATTGGCTGCATCCAACACTGACGTGGCCAAGTCTGCTTTTATCTGGTCCACGCAAAAATGTTTTAACTAACAATCAGCACAGTGATTTAAATGTGTATCAGAAAGTCAGTGAGCTGGACTACAAGCTGAAACTGGTTATGACCTGACTCCAGCTTTTTGGGTTCAGAATATTTGACCAATTTTTCTGTTATTCTGTGGATAAATCCTTTTATATCCACACAAAGCGGACCCTCAGGACAGTGAAACCAGAGCCTGCGCAGCCACAGTGAAGCTAAACCCTTCTCCAGCTCCAGGATTAATTAAAATGAAATAACACAGGGGAACGATTGGACAGAGGTCAGGTTTCAATGATGAAAACCTGGTCTGTAGCTGGAGCCGAGCTGGTCACGGTAGCTTGTCTGTGGACGTTGTCTCTTTGTGTCTCACTAGTCTCACACAGTTATGCTGAGGCCACCTACACAGCAGTGAGGAGCTTCTGTTTGCGTGCACTCACCCTGTGACCCACCTCACCCACCCTCACAGCGTGAGAAGACGTCGGGTCAAGGATCCTCTTTTAATAGTGGCCACCTGCTCCTTGTGTCCACTTTCTAAATATGTCTGCTCTGACTGCAGGAGAACCAGAAGGGGGCGACGATGGAGGCCCTGATGACTGTTGACCAGCATCCAGGAAATGCTACAATTTCTCTTTGGACTCACAGACTTTATAAGTTTATAATTTTACTGTGTGGTGTAAAAGTTCCAGGCAGGTCTAAAATCCCTTTCTGCAGCCTTTTCTTATTGTATGGAAAACAAATTTAGAGCATTTCTCAACAACATAAAAGTTTTTCCATCCATCCTGGGTCATTAGGATAATTTTACTCACCTAAACATTTGGGTTTTTAGCTCCATTCCCTGCAGCTGTCACAGGTACGGCCCAGAGTCTGCAACCCAGATGTTTATTATAATTATTATTATTTAATAAAAAATAAACATGAATTTTGCATTTTTACATGCATAAGAATTAAGTCCTGGTGGACTATGGTACTTTTCTCTGAAAATAAATACATTAACAAACATGTTCTGTAGTTTAATGTTCTTAACCATGATGTTCTAGTTCTGTCTGTTTTCTTCAACTTTTTTTTTAAATTTTCATGTAAAGGCAGAATAATCCGGGTTAACCCCAGGCAGATGATGGAGTGGAGGCCGAGATGGTGGACACGTTGGACAGAGTTCACACAATTTCTGTGCATGTTGACACATGCACTAATTACCTGTCTTTGAAAGCACCAGTGTACTGGAGTGACACGTTTTTTATTTTATTTTATGCAGATTGTTGATTTTTTCAGTCACATGATCAACTAAATTAGATTTTTTTTGGTGCTTGCTCTCTTCTCTTTTAGGGCTTTCTGTAGCCCAGAGTGTGACGTTGTATCCTGTTAAGAGCCTGTTATCACACCCAGAGGAGAATTCAAGTTCTGACTGTCAGATGTGTAAAGTATCTTCTGCAGTTCAAAAATCGATTCTTTTTCATGGTTACTGCGTGAACATCACTGTGACCTCGCTACTAGATCATTTTAAACACAATATATTCATGTGTTAATTTGAGTAATATCTAAACTACAAATGTCATTCAAGTAATGGTTAAGTCTAACAATGTGGCCCTCCCTCAGAGTAAAATATGTATTAGATTTATTATTATAAACTTTCATGTTGTAGATATATAATTGCAATAATCATTGTCAAACGTCCATCCATTCAGTATGTTAACAAACCGGAAAAAACTCTGCAACCCTCATTCTGCAGTTTAAACTGTTGCTAACATTCATCCACGTACTTACCTCACTTTACAACGACTGGTCATTTCTTCTTTTTGACCTTTCCCTCCAGCTGTCCGTCGTTATTGTTGATAATCAGGGTTATTATTGACAGGAGTTATCGAAATGCGATAACAAGGGAGTTTTGAACGCCAAACAAAAACTCCCACGTTTAAATAACGCGCTGAAAAAAATCCATTTTCTTTCTTCCGTTTCTTTCCGTTTATTTAAAACAAAACACGATCGACACAAAAAACTCAAACCCTCGCTGAATGAAAGAAAATTAAATAAATAATAGCATTTCGACACAGGTGACTGTAAATTAGCTGTGACGTCACTTCCTTTTCCCGAGCAGGTCTCGGAATGACGTCAATGAACAAAACAAAAACAAGACAAAAAATAAAAATGATTTAGAAACGCCGCACACAGAATCTACAGCAAAAAAAACAAAACAAACAAAAACAAGACATTCATTTTAAATGAGAATCTTGCTATAGGAAAAGACATTAATTTTAAATGAGAATCTTGCTATAGGAAGCACAACCTACAGCTGTTGTTTTTTTTTGTTTTGTTTTTCATGCTCAGTGAGAGAAAAAGTTCAGAAATCTTTTTTTTAAATATTTTAACGTTTAATGTGTATTTGTGCACAGCTTACAATAAATACATATAGGAATACTTTGGCTCAAGCATTTGGCTGTAGCCAGTCAATGACTACAGATCCCTACCTACTGTATGACTGACACAACACCTATACAGCATGGACAACAACAGACTGATGGTAAATGATTGGCCTTTAGAATTCAGCTTTGGGATTGGTCTGATTGGTTCACTGGCCTGAGATCGCAGCTTGATTGGCAGTGCAGACAAATAAAAAACACAACAGGGATTTTGGTTCTGTTTGTTTTTGCCTCTCCAGGCAGTGAGTGGAACAAACTGAAGAGCATGGCCCAATTTGTGGGCCACAACGGTTGGTCACTCCTGGATTTAGTTCCTCAATGTTAGCAGAAAAAAAAGGCCACAGCAAAGTCTTTACAACACCTCATTACTGGGATTTAGAAAAGCAACCACAGATAATATAGCTAGTTCCATCAGTATGTCCCATGTGAGGTACATGATAACAGACCACATTCAGTATTCATTGATGTTCAAATTCACACCCTCCTCTGGAGACTGATATTTTAGGAGACAAAACCTTTTTTGGAGGAGACAGTGAAAAACACATCTACACTGCTGTTGACTGGAACTGTGATTGGACTGTATTCATACCCCTCTACATTAACTTCCTAGACTATCTGGTTATATTAATGCATGTGAGTGAATCAGAAACTCCAACCGTAACAGATATGGATAAAAACAAGTCTTAAACTGAGACATAAGAAGGAAAAAAAGACTGTACAGAGAAGTCTGATGACCCACATACATCGATGGATTACAGGCGTGTAGCAACCCACATCTGGTACCTAGCGACTCCTTAGTGCTATCCAAATTGTGGCACATTGAATGGGACAGATGTGTCCCCCGTTGGGTCAGATGAGCTGAAAGATAAAATTATTAAACACTTTGTAGGTCAAACAAAAACACAGTGGTGTGGATATAATAATGATTGATGTGTAAATAATTTTACACCAAATGAAAAAATAAAGCCTAACATCTGTGCGTAGGACTGAACCGTAGGAACTGGTTTAAAGAAACAATGTAAAAAAGAAAGAACTGAGTTATGTCCTCAGCCGTGGAGTGATCACTGAGTCCAGGTGAAACAGCTGGAGGCGTTTGGATGACGCATGGATTTTCTTCATTCCTCCACATTCTTCAGATACCTGCACGACGAGCATGTCTCGTCTGCTGCACACACACACCACACATCACACCGAGCTAGGACAGAGTTTTCAACACCTAATGCCAAACTATACCTTTCCCAACTTTAAGTAACTTCTATGCTAACTACTAGTAATTTCTAAGATAACTTTTAGTTTCCTTCGTTGTTGTTTTTTTTTACTGTTTGCTTTTAAGAGTCTTCTTGCAGATCAAATGTCTGTTTGTACTATAGGTACATCAGCTGAGATTACTGCATTGCTTTGACACTGACTCTGCCCCCTAGTGGTGACCATGTCGCTGTGATATATGTTTTTTCTGTCCTGTGTCAAGTGCAGTCTACCCTGTTTCATCACAGGAGGATATACATGAGTGAGCAGAACTGTAGTTGTGACGCAGATTACATTCAGCTGTAAAGCAGAAGGACACTTGTCGAGGTATTCTTGGCACAGGCTCTTGTACCGTCTCCACAGATCCAAGTGCTGGTTCCAGGCCCTGGATCAGGGCACCAGTCGGTGTTCAGAGAAACTACACACAATAGCCTGCAACTAGACAAGCTAAATACTGAGATACTTGAAGGCTGATATGAAATCTGCATGTCAAAGTGCAACAGCGAGCCAGTGTGTGTCCACTGTCTCTGTGCAGCTCAGAGCAGGACATCTGCTCCTGCTGCAAGTCACTGCTGGAAACACAACTTCAGAGTCTCCAGGAGCACCTTTAGGGGGCGTGGGCTGAGGGCAGACCATCAACATTTTTTACCACAGATCCCCTTGGTCCAGTCCTGGATGATCCCGGCCTTCACCAGCTTCAGCAGAAACTCCTTCTCTTTGGATATGTTGTGAGTCCATGACTGCAGGGGGCGACAGGAGACACCAGGTTAGGCCTTTTAATGATGTTTAAAACTTTGAAAAATCTATTTAACTGTAACTAAGATCTGATAGAACAGTGGTCCCCAACCCCCGTGTCTCCAGTCCGTGGGTCAGTTAGTACCGGGCTGCACAGAAAGAATGCATAACTTATATTATTTATTATCTTATTCTGTATTATTTTAAAATATTACCAGATTCTCTCTGCCGCATCTGTCTATGACTCACATTTGATGGATGGCAAGATGTTTGCCTCGGTCATTTGTCTTACCTACATCCGCTACGTTCTAAAAGGGTCTGCTGCGGCCGATAATACATAATACATTATCGCCTAATTGAAACCCTCAAGCTAGGAAAATGAACAGAAAATAAAGAAGAGAGAGAAAAAATCTGGGAATCACTGCAGTAGACATTGATCAACGTTTAACTTTTGAAAATCCTTTCTAAATGACTGAAGATCTATCCAACAACACTGCAGTCTCATCAGTCTCTTTAAAAACCACACCACTAACATCATCATTTAAAAATGTGAGCGTTTTCACTGCAACAAGTCAACTCTCAGGTTACCTCTTTGATCGCCGACATCTTTGTCTTCTCATAGTAGTGCAAAGGTGCGTTAGGAGTTTTCATGTCGTAGCCAAAACCAGCCACAGCTACTTCATCACAGTTATGAAGGGCCATCGTTATGGCAACAGCCCCAAGGGTTGGAATATTCTGGGGGAGCGGGCAAAAAAAAAACAGGTAACCCAACCGTGACCTGTGTCCCATAGCAGAAACTGCATGTGAGATGTCTTACATTACTGACCAGAGTGTCTGGTCAGTATGTTGATATGTTACAGACGTGACACATAAGGAACAGTTGTATTTATAACAGCCCTAAATGTGGTGCTGTTTGTTTTCAGGTTGTGTGTGCGTGCTCTGCTGCCTGCAGCATCTGCTGTGTGTTCAAACAAGACTTCATAATGCAAACACACAGGAGCAGCTCTAGCCATGACCATTAACTCACAGCTATACATTCAGCTGCTCCCTAACCTCCAAAATGAAAAGAAACACACGTCCTCACCCCTCTGCCCATCTGTCCATTGTTGTGTGGTAAACCAATAAGGTTGAAGGAGGCCTCCTGGATGAAGTAGGGGTTCAGGATGCGGATGTCGCTGGGCTCCCTGGGGACCTGTCGAGCCACCGACTTCCAGAAGCCATCGGCACTGTGCTGGATTTCAGAGGAAAAAGAGGAATTTATCGAGTTTTACCACTGGTCACAACGGAAAAGAAAAATCATAAAAAAATACATTTATTACATCACAAAATACTATAATTGGAGACAGATTACAGACTGGGCCAAGGGCCTCCTTATGGACCAAACCTCTTTGGTCAGAACTTGAAATAGTTCTACTTTTTATTTTTATGAATATGGCACTCATTGTCCAAACTTATTTGGGCTTGAATAAGTATATAACCCCCTTAAATTTATTGTAAACTATCTTTTAACCTAAAGCAGCAAAAGAGTTTGCTGAACAGAGTTTCATGGGTGGGACTATAAGAAAGGATTTTAAAGAAACCGTTAGAAAAGTGACTAATACGTCCACTAAATAAACTCTTCTGTGATGACCAGCGTTTGTTTTGGTTGTCCCTGAACACAACATATGGCAACACATGAGACATGTTGACGCTGTAAAATGACTCATCAACATTGATACTGCGTGTGTCATCACGCCGTGTGGTGAGACTAACAGTGGACCTGAGTGGAAAGTATGACGTTCTTTAGGTAAAAATTGAAAAACAAATCCCGGAGCAGAAGTCAAGAAGAAGTCAATACCATCCAGGCTCTGATGAAAAACAACTGGAGCAAACAAAGAAGCCCCTGTATCACTGAACCAAGGGCTATTAGACTAATTGGCAGCATCCTGCTCCTCCTGACCCAGTGGCTCTTTATCTACAGTTACTTGGATACCTAGTAGTAGGTTTGCTGAGATGTGTCAGAGTGAGGGGCTGACAGAATCCAAACAGCACTGCTCTGAGCTGTTAGTTCATTCCACTGTTACCCTGTAAGGCTGAGCGAAGCCTCACAAACCACAGGACGGTCGGGTAATCCTACCTGACTGAGAACATTTTGCTCCTCTCTAAACTGGAAACCCAACACCTCCTCACCACTGCCAACATTGAGGGACACAACAATGTCAAAAACACATCTGCATACAGTACATGGGATCAAATGACAGGCACTGTCAATACTTCGAGTTAGACCATGATGATGGAGGAACTTTCGTCCTGGGAATTTGTCCACAAACAGTTCCTGCAGAAGATTCAGTACAAACGGTTTTATGAAGAAAAAATAAAACCTCTCACACACACACACGCTCACCTTGGTGATGGGTTAAAAGCAGAGGCTCAGTTTTGTTGTATCCCTGTGTTACAATGACAATAAAGACTATAAAATAAAATAAAAATACTTGAAGAAGCCCCCTCACCCATTTTTGGTAAGACCTGTCTGTTTTAAGAATCCAATCTTCTTATGCATTCCAGAATGTTCTCAATGCTTCTCCTTTCCATGGATTTGCTGAAATTGCTTTCCCGCTCTAGCACCACAACTACACTTATATTTAACAATAAAACAATTGTAAATACACAAACAATTATTTTTCGTTGATGTCATTAAAAAACCCTCGCGCAAACAATAAAAAATAAATTCGACCACGAAGGGACTCGAACCCTCAATCTTCTGATCCGAAGTCAGACGCCTTATCCATTAGGCCACGCGGTCACACTGCCCTCTATAGGTTATAGAGGGTGCAAGTTAGATGTTAAATCCATTCGAATGGACACGGATGAAGTCATTGTGTGACGCAGCATCAGCCTTAACAACAACTTCACACGGACGACATGTAACTGAGAAAGAAATGTTGACTGAATGAACAGGTAATTCATTTATATTTAAAAAATAAATAAATTAGTCTGATGCTTTAAATGTTCAATGTGAAAATGTGTGTTTTAATCACCTTTTACTTCTGAAGGCCACATTAACATACCAACCTCACTGTTGTTTAACTCTATTGTCCAACCACAGCAGCTGGGAGGGGTCCTTACTGGGGGTCTAAATGCTGTTTCTTTTACTATGGTAAACAGAGCGAAAGCAAAGTTCAAATGGAAGAAGAACCACTGTGATGTTGGTTATATGTGCCATGCTGTGGAAAAATAACATGTATTTGTTCATAAACTAAACAATTTTTAGGAATTGCCGAGTTTCAGAAGTTCAGTGAAGTTTTGAGGATAATGTTTTATATCTACGTTTAGTTATAGACAAAAGCAGTGGTTCTCAGAATATGGCAACTATAAAAATGTCATGTCAAGTTATACATCATATGTCATGGGGGTAGTTGAAGAGACAAATATTTTTAGATTTCAGTTATACATCATATGTCATGGGGGTACTTGAAGAGACAAATATTTTTAGATTTCAATTTTGTGGTTTGAGGATTTAAGTTTGAGAGAATGACTTGACAATAAAAAAGTGCCACCAACTGGCGGGAAACGGAAAGAGGCGCTACTGTGACTCAGTCACTGAACTCAGGCCAGCAGTCTTACCAGCCTCTGCTTGAAGACCATGTGTCGTAGCCATTTGAGGTCCAGAGCCTTGAAGGCTGACAGGACGAACAGGGACTGAGCTTCATAACGTTCAGTCTTCTGGATGGCCCCCTCAGGATAGGTGATCCTCATTGTGGTCTTGGAGCCCACGTCTTTCTCGAAGCCCTTCACCGGGGCCTCGTTCAGCCTAAAAAAAAAACAAACAAAAAAAACAACAGCAGCACAAATCAAACCCTGAGCTGTGTAAGTCCACTCCACTATACTGTCGTTTTCAGGTTTGACAATGTTGTTGAATGAAAGGAAACTGTTCACTTTATCACTGACTCAGTGGTTTTCAAAATATAAAGGTAATCTTTTTTTCCTCCTTAAATGTATCTAAAATATTGAGCTTTTTTACACAGTACTACCATTAGTACTGACCAATTTTTCTTTAGGTAAATTTGAGATAATTGTGATACATTATTGATTTTGTTGACTAAACTGCTTTCTGTGTTCTTTTATGATTTATGATTTTTATATTTGCAACACTCAACCTTTTCTGATTTTGTTTTTGTTTCCCCTACATTTTAACAATCACACATCCATGCTGTAACACACCTGACCACCACATCAAACTGGTCAATTCTCTGCCCCAGAGACTTGTTGGTGAGGATTCCTCCGTTCCCTATGATGATGCAGGTTTTACAGCTCAGACTGTACAGCAAAAACACAAGAGACCACATGACTTAAGTCACTTAGGCAGTAAAATAACCTCAATGTAGATGAAAATACACACCTCAACATTACACCAATTGATAAAATCAAATTGACCACCTTGGTAGTTCAAGTTTTAAAAAAAGCCTGTTGACAGATTTACTGTATGATTCCATCACAGACTAACCGCCTAGAACAGACTTACCTGTCAAGTTCTTCCCCGAGGTCATAGTTCTTGGTAGCTGACAGAAGAATATCGATGATCTTTTCTACAGATTTAAAAAACAAAAACGCAGATTAAAAAAATGAAAGCATTTAATTTGATCTCATCTGCAGCAGAACCTCAGCAGCTGTGATAAGACAAGTCGGGCTACGAGCCGAAAGCCTGGTGGTCTGACACATGTGCTGCTGACAGAAGTACTTTAAGCTGGTTATTTTTTACCTTTCAGACTAAGAACATGTTCTCATACCTTGTGATTTGACTCCAAATGGAGGCGAGTATCCACCGATCCTGGAAAACTGTTTGTAGTTTGGATCCAGGAACATGGGAGCCTCTTTGTTGAATCTGTTGATTTAAAACAAGATAGAAAGATGTGTTTTTTAAATTTCATAACTAATGTGCCCATCAGTCAGACAGATATATGTTAAAGTGCAGAAAAGGATTTGAAGCAGGGCTGTTCAGTCGTCCATTTATCTGGGCTAGCCATTTTCTATAGCTAATAAAATGGAGGAAACTACAACATTTTTTACCTATTGAAAGACACTGAATGTCTCCAGTACTCTAACATACTCCTTGTAAATGAAACACATTTGAAAAATGGACACTTGCAGGTCATTTTGGACACAAAAAGTAGACACTTGTGATGGACCGCGTCACAAATATAACTCGTGGAGTACATAGAAGAAAAACTTGGCTCTAGGGCATGTATTCTTACTTGGGGTAATTGGCAGTCATCTTGGCAGCTGCATACCCCGGTCTACAGGCTCCTTCACTCAGGTTGTTGTACATGTGGATCAGCTCCAAAGGCCTGGAGACATAAAAAACATTTGCTTAGACAATGACTCCTGCCTCACCTCCACACAGTGTTTTCTCTGAAGACTGTCTGTGGATTTGGGTGAGGTTTGTCTTCCAAGTACGTGGAGATACAGTAGAACTCCTGTGTCAGACTTTCTCTACGGACTACAAGACAAACATTTACAGGTTGAAACAAAATGTAAAACAAAATTCAAACTCTAAAAACCAAAAGATGTATTTTGTCGATTGATCCCAGGCTCAGAAACTACAGATATTTATTAGATAGATAGAACAGAACTCCTCCTGGGAAGTCAAACACCCGGTTCCTCCAGGATTTGAACCCAGGACTCTGAGCTCTCTGCTTCCAAGGCAAGCATGCTAACTATGGAACAAGCAAGTGAATGAAAGTCAAATAATGTTTGTGTAATCAACTTAATAAAGATATTACAATCTATTCTGAGAATCTTATGTGGTATAATTCAAAGAAGATAAAACATGAATACTCACAGTTTACCATCCAGCTTATTAAGAAACCCTTCTTTGTCATACACTAGAAGAAAACAAAAGAAAATAAAATTGAGGGCTACAATTTTACTTCACTGATCAAGTCACTTAATTCACACTGACAGACATTGTGACTTTGACTGTCTATGAGTCTTTTTTTTTTAATGATGCTTAAAGAATAAATGACAATGACCATATCCTCTAATGGATAAGGCGTCTGCCTTCAGAAGATTACGTTTTTGTTATATATCACTCTATAACGGTCTGATTACCCATCTACCTTTTCTTTTGTCTTTTGCTCAAAATTCTACATCAATACGGGTTGGGGTAAAAAGTGCATCCGGTCTGTTGTAATGCTGTAAAAGTTCTGGGAGAGGACACGACTGTCGACTGTTAGTGATGATTCCCCAGTCTAACGGCTCATTTACCTGTCAATTATACCTCCACTTAAACCGGTCGACCAGACCACAGCTGCCAAGACATGATTTTACATCTTGGCAATTCTAACAAAACCAATTCTGTTTCATCCTTCGACACCTGTGTGTGTCAGCTGAGGCATTATGTCAGAGTCTTCACCCCGACCACACATTTGCCTACAGTGAAGCGGCCGCAGCCAAGAACATGTCTGCTGACCGTGTCAGAATTCAGTTTGAAGCACTTCCAAACCTGAACATGCGCAGACTCATTCTTAAAGCTGAGTCAACGCGATCTCTGGAGAACTGTGGAGAATGTTGAGTGAAAAGCTATTACTGGACCACTGCCTGGAGAGTTGACTGCACGTTAGTATCTCTGTAGCTATAGGCTGATGATAGTATGACAGGGTAAATGTGATTTGTATACTGGTAATCACTGTAATGTCCACGTGTGATAAATACATCATGAAGGACGAAATATGTCTAAATGTGCAATAAGATGTAAAGCTGAGGCTTTCTATCACAGTGTAGCTGTGGATTAATCAAGATTAACCAGAATAATTTTGTTTCTTGTTGGAAAATATGAATAACAGAAGGTAGAGGTCAGTATTTCTCACTTGTTTTTATTTGTGACTAATCCAAATGATGATTATTAATAAAGAAAAGTATAACAGAAAATGTCTCGTCATTGAGCTGCTGTATTCAGTCATTACTGTTCATTTTGACAGTGTGAAGAGTTCTTTCTAAGCTTCAGTCCAGTGTACAGTATGTGGTAGGTGGTGTGAAGTGTGAAGCCACCGAGAGAACAAAAACAACAACAACAAATTTGTCTGTTTCTGCATTTGTAAATCATGTGTTTATCATAGTGGTTCATGTCAGCGTAGCATTAAAATAATTGAGCAATAACTGCTGGCAACATTGATATTTTCCATAATTGAGGCATCTTTCAGAGCAGATGATAGAACTGATGCAACCAGCCTTTAATCTACAAAGACAGTACAAGCTGTTACAAGGTCTGTTTGAAAAGAAAAAAGGAAATCCACACTTCAATTGTTTGCTGCTGTCTGACTGCCAAAAATGCGATAGACCCTGGAGAGTTCACGAGCACTTAATAACAATCATTTACTGGGATATATTTAATGTGCCATTTTTAAAATCAAGACGGACCTGTGTGAAAATGTCAACGTTAAACCAAATTGCTAACAAATGCTAAAACACCAGAGGTAATATGCAATTTTCACCTATTATACTGGAGAGTTTTCTAAACGTCAGAATTGCCGGTGCAGGAAAATAGGGTTATTGACTCAAAATAAATAACTGATCCAGTTCCAATGCACTTACAATGCTTACTTTGGAGTTAAGCACTGAAACATGGTACCATCTGGTGATCTGGTTCCGTTTACTTTCATACGCCCAAATGCAACGCCTAGACCACTGATGCAATCGTCCTCTGATGCTGCCATACCCTTGGGTTCTGTTATGTCTGTCTGGTCAGGGTCTCAGTGCATCAGAAAGAAGAACATGGTTGTAGCCAATGAATGCCTCTTTTCACTGGGGCTGATCTAAGGATGGTGCAGTATTCTTTAAAATAGAATGGTGCCATAAAATCTATTTAGATAATTCGATTTCTTTAAATATTTCTTGTATATATTTCCATCTCAGATTTAAATGCTTAAAAGCTAAACAGTGCACTGATAAAAATCAATATTTTATACATTTACTCCAATCATCAACAGAAACCATAGCTTCTTCTGTTAAAACGTGGGGGAGTAAATACGTAAACTATTGGGTCTTAAATATAAGGAGTCTGTCTCCCCCTTCTGGGGAAAACATTACATTGCGTACCTTGGCAGATAAACGGCCTTCAAACAAAGGGACAAATCTCTGGGGTTTGGTTCCCAAAGTGAAAGTTCAATATTCACTATTTTATTTGTGCCACAGTAAAAATGCTGATGTTCAGTGAAATCAGCGGCCTTGTATATATAACAGTGCTTTGTCCTATCTACAAACTGCAAGAGGATGACCTCAAATGCACAGAATGTGTACTTCTCAAGATATAAAGCATTGAATAATTAGTTTAACTGAGTTAGTAGTAATGAGTGAAACACCTGAATTTACACTAGAAGATGTTAATGCACTAAACACTAAAATGTTGTTTTAAATCAAAAATCAGGGGCTAGAAGAAAGAACTTCTTCTGTAGAAAACAGAGACTGCTGTGAAGAAAAAAACCCAGAAAAAACACTGGATAATTAACAGTTTGACTGAGTTAAGATTCCTGCACATCCAGCAGACACACACAAACCAAACACCATCTTGAGTCACGTAACATTGTGATGCCTTATGGAACAAACTGCATAATAAATTGAATCCTTTTCAGTAACAACACTCACATGATCGATAGTCCCAGCCTTGTAACGTGATCCTGTCAGAAGAGTAGTAAAGGAATCCTAGGGCCAGCATGGAGCACAGGCCCAGGAGGAGGTTGCAGCTACGTTTCATTTTCATATCCAGTTAGTGTACATGGCACATCCCACACTGGGGCCTGTTTCAGTGAAGACAAACTGGTTAAAGGTGCACTTAAGCACAACATGTTATTGCGTAACACAATCACACGCCGAGGCTGAATGTCTGAGACCCAGAGAGCAATCGTATCAAATTTATCGAGGTCTCAAGCTGAAGATTCAGATTCTTCTGTTAGCTTTGTTTATACTAAAAGCAAACAGAAGGATCTGTGTTCATGGTGCCCTCCCCAATTTTTCAGTTTTAAACAAAAAAAACATGCTTGTGATGTTACAACACTTTTAAAATGTAAGTCTGTATTTCGACACATTTGATATGTGCGAAGTGTAAAATACAAGATTTGTGTGGCCCGCGGGAGCTTAAAAAGCGTTTAGTAAAGTCCAAGTTTCTTAACCTAAGAAATTAAAAGGTTTTTTTATTACACAGCAGTGAACAATATTTGTAGTTTAAATAAATAATAATCAATTACAGAAACATGTATTGGTCTGTTATAGAGTAGTTACATCTATATCAGCGGTCCCTAACCCTTTTTGTTCAAAGGACTGGTCAGCCATTCCCACCCGTTACTATGGACCGTTAGCAACGTGCTGAGCATTGAATTACATTTTCAAAATCAAACATCTTTTAGACTCTATTCTGTTTGTATCAGAGTCTGAATGACATATTATTTTAAAATATTGACAGAAAATCCTTAAAGTAAGTAAATAAATATGACAGGAATTTCTTTGAGTTAAGTAAATTAGTAAAAATTAAGTACATTTTTTTCACTGTGTCCCGCTGTGGCCCAGTACCAAATGACCTATGGACTGGTACTGGTCTGCGGACCAGGGCTTGGGAACCCCTGATCTATACAGTCTTCCATTTAAAACCAGCCATTCAAGGGAACTGTATTGCTAATGTGGACCCCAGTGAAAATGAGTTTGACACCCCTGTCCTAGATGTTTAAGAGCAGGTCAACAGAGAGGGTAAAGTACCTCAAATGAGTACCAAACCAACACTCGTGGGTTGGAAAGTACCTAAAAGTATGCTGGGTTTTTGTTAAGTAACTAGACAAAACAAATGGAGAGAGTACTCAGGATTGCCAGACTTGTGGCTTAGAGTAAAAAACAGAGGCTGCACTAACGAAAATAATTAAAAGTACAATTCTTTCTATGTGTAGTTTAAAGAATCTTGATCTTTTTTAATATATTCATTATGTTAGCTTATAATGCAAGTTTAGGGAAACACCTGACTTGGCAGGATCACAATAAGCAAAAAGTCAGAAGTAGTGCTTTTGGTTAATATAAAAAGTTGTTAACAGTATCCTAAAATTTGTAGTAATGTAGGATGTTAAATGCTGTTGGTAATTTGAAATGTATTGTCTGTATGTGTTTTTAAATGGAGTTGAGCATAAGTTGCTGGAGATAAGGAGAAAAAGGAAGTTAAAAAAAGTGCAAAGTAGGAAATGGTGCAGCCCAAAAAGGCATGTTTGATGGTGATATGATAAAGTCATGACATGTTTTTTGCCATATAAATACAAGTGTCAGGAGCGATAAGTTCAGTTTGTGCCTCATCTTCCCCAGATGAAGACAGGACTTACTCCTGAACCCTGCAACAGCCTAAGAGGAGACTTGTGGACCAAAGACAAAGATCGGACAAATGAACAGTGTGTAGACTGTTTTTATTACTTTACATACCCAGCAGCAAGAAGATCTTAAATTGGACTATTTTTGACACAATCCTACCACTGAGATCACGGTAAAGCAATGATAAAGCAATGGCTAGAAGATGGAACCTCAACCTGGGGGACTGGGATGAAAACAGTTTAATAGTCATAGAAAACTGATGTTACGTTGTGTATGCAATGGTAGACAGGAGATTTTTGGGGAAATATAGAGGACATTGGGTGGATTGTACAGTCCTAGGGAAGAGTACAATCCCTTAATCAAGATGATGGCTACAGTGTCAAAAAGTTAATGTATACCTTGTAAATTCCAAGATGACAGATATGTCCAGATACAGAGAACACAAAGCAGAAAGAGCAAAGATGGAGGAAGCAGCTTAACTGAACAAAGAAACTGGAAGATGACGAAGATGAAGAGACAGGCATAGCATCCTTACCAAGCATAAGGGAGGATGAAGAGCAAAACAATGAATCTGATGACAGTGATGAAGAACAAACGCCTGGCAGAGACAACAAGGTTCCCAGAGACAGAAGAACCTATTGTGGCTGAGATTGGGGAAGATCCTAAATCAACAGCATCATCATCTTTAGCACCCAGTAATACCACCAAGGCAAGGCACTCCAAGAAAAGAAAGTATGGACATGGAAGGGCTGCCTAAATTAGAGGATAAAACACTATTTCCCAACAATCTGTTTTATGTCTATAAAACAGCCAGTCCCTGGGCGGTTTACATATAGATATATATATATATATATATATACATATATGTATGTGTGTATATATATATACATATATACATATATGTATATGTATATATATATATATATTGAATCGTTCAGGCAAAAATAAATTTCCAAAAAAAAACAGACACCTTGAAGCCATTGGTTTTTCAACAGTCACCTGAAGAACATTAGAATGTCTGGCTTTAAAAAAGAAATGGTCACTGGCTGGAGAACTATTGCTGAAGACCATATTTGTACATGACACGTTTAAAGACCATGGAGCGTAAAATACGCAGAGGTGTCTAAAGTCAAATGCACACTTGTGTATATTGACATTCAACTTTAAACTTAAGAGTTTTACTGTGTTATAAGACTATGTTAAACGATGATTCGGTAAAGCTACGCTATTTTCTTAGCCGCACGGCTATGACGTTAAAGCTAAATAAAGATACTCTCCTAAGACTGGTGACGTACAATTTAGAACATAGCAAAAAAAGCTGCCCTTCATTACAACGCACTAAAAAACACATGTACGAGGGGGAAACTGTTATAATGTCATGTTTACATGCTTCTAGTGAGCAAGACTAGCCCGCTACGCTAGCGAGGATTCCATTATCGGACTCTTACCGGACGTGAACCGTTACTTTTCAGATTGACCTCAACTACTCCGTCGTCAGCTCCAGCCGCCGCGCTGCGACCCACCAAGCTTGTGGACGACGCATTAACATTAGCGATACATTACTACATTACCAAAAAAAAAAAAATTTTCCCAGTGTGGACTTCACATATGGGACAAATCCAGTTACTCCTCCCCTCCGTACACACACTCCAACCATAGCCAGGCTGCTACAACAGGAGGACCGATACAACCTGCTGGGCATGGAAAGCACGTCACGTCGAACAAAATTAAGAAAATATATTTAATAACATAAAGCTAAACTACTATTACCTAATTTTTACTGTTCAGTTGGTCGTGCGTACAATTTTGTGTGTGTGGGTGTATATATGCAAAATACAATAATACATAAATAGTAATAATTAATAATAAATAGTAAAAGTACAGATATAGTCATAGTAGGTCATAGAGTACGAAGTGGTGCATGTTAGATGATGTAGTGGGTTTGTTAGGATAGGACAGGCATGGGCAAACTAAGGCCCGCGGGCCAGATGCGGCCCTTTCACCTTTTTTAATCCAGACAGCCAAACTTATTATATAGTTTATTTATTTTATCATTATACTTTTGCCTTTTCCCTGTAATACCCATGTTTCAAATGCAGTGGTTTAAATGCAACAGAAAGGTCCAGAAGGATAAGTACTGAGGATTGGCCCGCAGCTTTAGCTTTTTTTACAGCTTCTGTCACAGATAGCAGAGCTGTTTCCATGGAGTGAACACTTTTAAAACCAGACTGGTTTGTATCCAGAACCTTATTTTAGAGAGAAACTCAGTGGCTTGTTTAAAGGTTGCCTTAGAAAGGAAATGAAGTAGTGAAACTGGCCGATAGTTCTAAATCTGGCTGGGATTGAGTGAGGCTTTCTTAAGTTGCAGCATCACTTTTGCCTGTTTGAAGGTAGCGGTGGGCGGATCGATCCAAATATCAATAGAATCGATACCAAGTTGATATGATATGTGTGACTTAGACGCGCAAAGCAAGAAAACAAGCGAGTTGCCGGCTCTGGTTCATCAGCACATGCACAGAGAAAATACAACAAAGAATGGTAGAGAGAAAGAGTAGCGCAGTGTGGCTGTATTTTCAGTTTGCGACTTACAGTTTGAGAAATGCTTTGGATAAAGTGTCTGCTAAATGTAATGTACTGTATATGTAATGTAAATGTAATGTGCAATGTAATTTAAAAATATACTGTAGATAAAAGGCACTAAAGGCAGTAAAGCAAATTATACAGATCAAAGGTGGTAGCCTTTCAGGAAAGAATAATTGGATACATGCAGTGTTTAGCATACTAAAACACACAAAGTATCACTGTCAGCTATTCCATGTAGTAAATAAAAAAATATGAGTTGGAGAGTTGTCAACTAGTAGCAAGAATAAAGATGGCTAAGCAAATGGTAAATACTAAAGAACATTTTGGGATGTAAGTGAAAACCTTATGCAAGGACATTTTTTTTTTTTTTTTTTTTACAGAGCCAGTTTATTAAAAGACTATAGCGGCAACATGGAATGTAAAGAAGACTACAAAGTGACAGTACTGTGACGAGTGCCAACTGCCATTATAATTTCCACTCCAGAAATCAAGAAAACTGTATATCCTATGCATGGCATGGATAAGGTCTAATGATACAAAGTTAGAGTATCTTTAATCAAGAAAAAAAATGAATTAGTGCAAAATAAGCATAATTACGAGACATCAAAACAAATATGGAGAACAATATCCGAGATTTTCTGAACAAAGCGGTGGAACAACAAGATGGTGAAGCTCTCCAGTCAGCCTACAATTTGATAAAAGATTTGACATCAGCCTATGACAGTGGGCAGGCTCCAAACACTGCTCTCGAGCTGTTTGTCATTTGTGCAGAAATTGCCCTCCGGCAGCAGAGTTTGAAGATATGCGCATCATGTCTTAAATCCTACTTTGACAGAAATCCACCAGCTAATTATCTTTTATGTAGAGCCTACCTCTGTCAGGGCCAGATTAGGTCTCCTCTGGCCTCAGGGAATGTTGAGGACTTTGAGGAGTGTGTGAATTTTTTTCTCGAAGCAATTGGAATTGCAAAAAGTGACCCAAAGTACCACTTTGTAGTATTCAATGCATCAGTGCTATATTTCAAGGCAGTACGCACTTTTCTACAGCCAGGAAGTTGCCATTATCTGATCCCCTCCTTCAGAATTGTAGTTCAAAGTCTGGAGGAGGTTGCAGACCCAGACTACAAATGGAGGGCAGAACTCATGATGCATCTGATCAAATGTCTTGTCGACTCAGGAAAAACCAAGGCTGCTACAGACTTCGCCAAAGTTACGGAAAAATTTATAAAGTCACATGTCCCAGATCTTTATTCAAATCTGTTTGTTCTACTGGTTCAGCACAGTCTTGAAAAAGTTCAGGTCCTCACTGAAATGACAATGCAGGATTCCACCTTAGCAGTCATTTATAAAGTAGAGGAATGTAAAAAAATGGAAGAAATAAAAAAAGGACGATTCACACAAGAGGTTAGTGACAAACTGGAGGAGATTTTCTCTCACCTGGTGGACAGTACACAGTCAGGAACAACATTAGGGAATGACAGCAAAAAACCTGCTCCTGTTCATCCAACTAAGCGAGTGACTCTCCTTCTAGAATTAGCTATGCTTTCCTTGCAAGTAAAGCAACAGAAAGTTGCAGCCAACTGCTTGAAAGAGCTCAAGTTGGCCAAAACGGTTAATACCTGCCAACGCATTATAATGAAATGTGTCAAAAGTGAAATCAACCTCTTGAAGAAGGACACAAAGATGAACATCTTTACCAAAGCCAGTGTGGAGGCTCGGATGCAGGAAATAGGCAAACTAGATCACTGGCTGAGAAGTGCAGTGACCGCGAGTGACCGCCAGGCTGTGCAGGCAGTGTGTGCTACACAGTGGAAAGTCTGCTTGCCTCTTTTGCAACATGGGCTCAAAAAACACATCAAGGCAACTCTACTCAGAATGGTACATGAACTGGAAGATATTCAAAGTTTGATGCTGGAGATGCGCTGTCAAATCCATATGGAACTGGCTGTAATTGAAGAGGAGGATGGTTTTCTAGAGTCTTCTTTGACTCACCTTCAAAAAGCCATCCAGCTGGATAACGGCAGACAGGATGAACGGCTATCATCAGCCTTACATCTTCTTCAGCTCAGAAAAACACCTTACCAAACCCTGTCTAGGAATGAAGATAAAGCAGCTATGCTACTGCAGCAGGCCAGGGACAAACATAATGAAAAGAAAAACATTCGTCCGATCCTGGTTGCTGTTGGTGTTCTTTTGGCATCTGAGGATTTCCAAACTCTGCTGAATGCGGACAACATCTCCAAAATTCCTGTAGGCACTCTTGGATCAGCACCAATGGCTCTGCTCTTTGCTAAAGCCAAACATTACACTGAATGTTTGCAGAAAGTGAGTGAAAACCTAACCAGCCAAGCCGATGACACTGACAACACAGGGAGAATGAACTTGTGGGTTACCCTGGTTAAAACTGCAAGGAGAAACGAAGTGTGGGATGTGTGCCGAGCTGCTTGTCGATTTTGCTTGCCCTATGACAATGAGCAATGGAAGATATCCAAGGCTGCTAAATGCGGATGCTCAGAGGATGAGAGTTGTGCAGAATGCGTTAATGGATGTTTAAGAGTAAGAGACTACATGCTCCATTTAGCTGAAGTCTATTTAATTTGTGCCGAGGCAACTGTCCAAAAGCTTTTTACGGAAGGGTTTCAGCTGAACAGCCCTCCAGTCCTTCCACAGGACGCAGGATTACAAGTGTCGATTGAGGGCCCACAGTGGATTACATTTAGAGACTGGATCCAGGGTCTATCTTCCTATGCTACCTCCAACTTTTTGCGTGCAGCAGAGTTGGGATTGGAGATCATGGAGCCATGGGTGGTTATAAATTCCGCTATATATCTGTGGAATTACAACAGCCACTTAATAATGGCCGGGGATTACCAAACTGAGCTTTCCTCCTTCCAGAATCTACTAGACATGCTACGAAAAGTAGAGTGCTCTAAAAATCGGATTCTGGTTGTGCTATTGTGTAATGTTGTAGCTCGGGGACTGACTGAGCCTTTGTTTGGACCAGATGGTTCAATGCCAAACGTGCAAGCTGAAAAAGGCAGGAGAGCTGCAGTTAGAGGAAAGAAAAAAAACACTGCATCTGTTAATGAGTTTTATTTAGATGCTGCTGGAATGAAGGATGCCAATTGTGCATTAGAACTGTGTGACTATGCCCTTCATGTATCTAATAGCAAAGGTCCAGGGGAAGTGGTTCCTATATCAGTAAAGAAGCAGGTGGTGACCACATGGGTACAGATCAAGATGATGTTGCAACAACAGATTTGCTCAAACATTAATGTCAAGGATGACGGTAAGCATGAGGAGATCTCAGAGTTGAATGTCTTAGTGGAAATGGAAAAGCTCCAGTGCAACAAAAAGTCAAGGCATATGGACTTTAAAGCTCACAGTCTCTCCACACTGGTGAAATCTGTGTCAGAATGCAGGTGGACAGATGTTGTGGTCAAGTTACAGGTGTGGTGTCAGCTGGCTGCTCTTGGTCATTCTGAAGAGGACCAGAGCTTGGTGATGTGCTGCACTGGCAATGCTCTGCAACTAGAAGAAACAGCAGCAACGCACGTCAGTTCGGTGCCGTGTGTTTTGTACGACATGAGTGCCGTGAACGCGATGCTGAGCAATGCAGCATGTTTGAGGGGTATGAGCTTAGTCCAGAAGTCCAAGGGTGATTTACCAACTTTCAGAGAAGCCCTAAAAGTAATTTTTTCCAGTGTCAGATATGCCGAAAAGGCTAAGAATCCAACATTGTGTATTACAGCGGCTAGACATTACTGGAACACCTGTCTACCCCTAACACATCGCCGGGAGGAAAGACAGAAGCTCCAAGATCCTCTTGAGAAGATTTTAAATGCTCTGGTTCAAACTAGCACTAAACAAACTCAGGTCAGAATGAATCCTTCAGTACCACAACTTGATATTTCTAAACAAGAGATCTCAGGAGGTGAGGACTTGACCCTTAAAGCTGCCATCTACAGTTTAGTGCTTCGTATCCACATTGATAAAACTGACAAAAGTAGTACTCTGCTGCTACTGGACAAAGCCATTAGCAACTTGCCCTCCACCAAACACACGATACGTCTTCTTAAACACTGCATACTATTAAAAGCACGGATGGGACAAAGTGTCCTAATGGACATGCAAAAACTTCGAGAGGAAGAGCTAGCCTGCTCACTAATGTGGCGTCGAGTGGCACTGTTTGCCAGCACTCCAACGCAGCAGCTCACCTCCTACCAAAGAGCCATTACATCGCTGGTAAGCCCTGAGACTGAGTGGCAGAAAGTAAATTTTGTTCTGGAGTTTGCTCAGTGGCTCTATTATAACAACTTTCCCAGAGTCCATGCTCAACACCACATCGGATGGGCCATAGACATCCTGCTTCAGCCTGAGCAGGAAGAAGAAGCAAAGGCAGAAGAAACAGAAGACCCTAAAAGTAGGCGTTTAAACTCAATGGTGAGGCAGCCCCTGATTGGAGTTCGAAGCCTGTGTCTCAGAACAGACCTGAGCACCTTGAAAGAAGTGTACTGCCTGGACTACTTAGTGCAAGCCCACACACTGCTTGCTTTTATGGCTGACAGGAGCTCACCTGAGCACCAGCTCCATCTGCTCAGCGCCTTCACTTTTGTAATTCAAATATGGCTGGTTTCCATGGCTGAAGTTTCTGACATGCTAAAGCCCCCACCCACTGCTGGATCGAAAAAAGGTAAACAAAAAACAAAGGTTCAGAAAAAAGGAAAAACTGCAGAAGACAGACTTGATCAGGCACTCCCTTCATCCCCAGAGGAATGGGCACGTTACATCTGTCCAAGCCAGGCAAGGATAATATTTAGAGCCAACAAAAACCAACACTGTATCAATACGTATACCATTACAAATCAGATGCAAAGTATATTTTATCTAACTTTGCTTGGAAACCAGCTAGACTCGATTTCACTTAATCATTTGACATTACCTGTACTGCACCTAGCTGAAATCATTGCCAATGACCTTCTCAATAAGAAAAGTCTTTCTGATTTGTTCCGGATTAAAATCTTTCAAACTTGTTGTCAGCTGGGTCTGGAGAAATACTCCCCTTATCAGAAGAGGCTCCTAGATTTGTTGACAAACAATGAGCAGGAACAGATAAAAAGCCACAAAGTGGTTGCTCTTTCAAAGGAAAAAGGTATGAATCAGAAAGCTTCTAATCAGACAGAGGAGCTAGATGAAAACACTGGCTGTGGCAAACAACGTAGGGGCATGTGCTTTCAGAACATTTACCTAGAAAAAGCTGAAGTTTGCCTCAGTATGGAGCTCTTTCAGCCGGCACGACAGCTCCTGGTTGAGGCTCACTTAATGGCTAAAGACCTTGGAGATCAGAAAGCACTGGCAAAATGTTTGCTTGGTCTGGCCACTCTGGCATGTAAGGAACAGAATCATGCACAGGCACTGATCCTGCTGGACCAAGCCCAAGCACTTGGAGGGGATGAGGAATTCTGGTACCATTTCACGCTTACTAAGGTAAATGCTGTTTTGGGCGAAAGACACAAAGATGTACAAACCAAAGTTCAAAAGATCATTAATCAAGGTTGCGAGGCTCTGAAAACAGTTCAGGAGAAACAGTTAAATAGGGTCAAAGAAGTCAAATACTTGATTACTCGTTTAGAAATGAGAAGTGTCATGGAAAGTATCACGGCCCTAAATGATGGTGAATCTGGAATTAATTCTTGCTACGAGAATGTCCAAAAACTAATGGCTGCCAGTGAGAGACTTGAAAAGTGTGCTAGTAGTTTCACTGAACTTGGCTATACAGAGAAGGCAGCAGAGGCACATGCAGAGTATGCACAGTGTATGAAAACCTTGGCCACAAAAACAGCAGATAAAGAGGAGAAGCAGCATCTACTGCTCCATGGTCTCTCCCAGATGCAGCTTGCCGTCATAATGCAGGAGCAGCTTGTGCTGAATGCTCAGAAACTGCTACCACCAAAGGACGAGACGTGTGGAATTTCACTGGAAACTGCGTGGAGGCTACTGTACCTACGACTAGGCCTGGTAGAACTTTGTCTGGTCTTGATGGAAGACCACTGTGCTGAGGCGACAGTTCGTGCTCTGGCACGTGAGAAGATGAGCCCTGTTGAGATTGCATTGGAAGATTTTACTGCCTCCTCACCTGAGCCAGATTCAATGGAACATAAATGGATTCATGTAGGAAAAACTTTGGGTCAGGTGGCTCTAGGTCAGCTGGCAACTATCAACTTCCATCCCTTACACGACATAGAAACCCAAGCTCGTTGCCTAAATCTGATGGGGAAGTATCTCAGGCTTCAAGCTTTGCTTAAGGACCCAATTCATGTGTATGCAATTTGGAGGCAAACCAAACCAACGGAAGTCTCTTCTGACAGTGAAACAGTATCTGCAGCGTCTGAGCCTTCTGAGAAAGACAAAGAATCAAGCCAAACGGAGTCAGTAAAACCCATTACAGAATGTCCTGAGGTAAAGAAGAGAAGGCGTAAAGCTAACCAGATTTTGTCACAGGCAGCAATGGCCATCTCCGAAACCATCAACTTGTGTCTTGAACATAATTTGTCTTCCTTCATTCTGGCTGAGGCCACGGTCAATATGCTGGGCTGTGTAGGACAACCTGATTCTGAAGCAGCGGGCCAATATCTGGCCCTCTTTCAGAGCTGCTGTGCTGTTACAACAATTGCTAAAGCATTATGCTCGACATGCATTGACACTCGTGGATCCCAGCTTGCAGCTCTGCTCAGCCTTCACAGTAAAATGCTCCACTCTCGAGTCGTGACCTGTGGTATGTTGAAAGGATTAAAAGACTCACTGAAGAAGCTCTCCAACGCATGCAGTCATTTAATAGTTAATCCAAACCACTTCAACTTACTTTCAGATCTTCCATCTAATTTGAAAATCCTGTTGCTTCAGCATTCTGAAAATCACTCAGAACTGTATGGAGCTTTCTACGAGATGGCAAAATCTACAGAAAATAAAAAAGCAAAGACAACTAAGGCTGGAAATACAATTAGTTGCTCAAAAGTGGCCAAGGTTTTCGTCTGCCCACAGCATTTGGTGGCACTGAGGGAGCAAATGAAGGCTTTCAGCCACGAGGCGAGACATACCCTCTTCAAGGAAGTCTGTTTGCATAGTACTGAGGAAAAACACGAGGCCTCTGAGGAACTTCAGACAAGCACAGTAGATGAAAAGTTAGCACCTCTCTACTGCAAAATTGTACAAGATCTGGAAGACTATTTATATCCGTTGCTATCACAGATGGACTTGCCTTGCTTTAGACCCCAAACTTCATCAGAACCAAATCTTGAACTAACACAATCCAAAGATAAAAAGGAAAAACAAAGCTCGACTAAATTACGAAAACCAGAATTTGTTGTGGTGCTGGCAGACAGCACGTTGCTGGACTTGCCACTAGAGTCCTTGCTTATCTTCCAGCAGGGAAATTTTAGCTCCGTGTCACGAGACTTTTCCCTGCAGCTACTTCACAGTCGACTGCGTAGTGCCAAAGCCGAGAAAGTTCCACGTGACAAAAAGGAAGGAAAAGGTGGTAAAGGAGGAGGGAATAAAAAACTAGAGATCAATAAAACAATTCCGTCCTACGCTATTCCAGTGGAAACACGAAACTTGAAGTATATTGTTGACACAGGATCTGGCCTGAGTGCTAAGATAGTAGAGATTTTGGATGACTATGGGAAACTTTCCAAACAAAAGTGTGAGGGCTACATGAGTGGCCAACAAACACCTAGCCTGTCGGATATTGAAGAGCTACTGTCCAAGTGCAGTGCTTTCATCTACATTGGCAGGGAGCAGCTAATGGCTAACGTCCCTCCTGCCAAACTAGTACTGGGACGTTTATCCAGGTGCCAAATGGCTCTTCTTTTTGAGCAGGTTTACGGCAATGTTGGAACTTTCCGACAGGCTATGGAAGACATGGATACGAGCAAAGAACAGTCTCCCGTTGAAACCGCTCTGTTGTTGAGTTTGAGTGGGGTTGGCTGTGTTATTCTCAATCAGTGGCAGAGCAGCTTACAAGATAACACGGACAATATGACAACAGTTGTACAAAACCTCCTGAAGGGCGACCGGACCTCTGGTCAAATAATCCATGAATTGAGGAAAAGAAATACTTTAGTGATCCCAAAGACCAAAGATACTGAGTCAAATAAATCTGAATGTCTCTCAAAGGAGGAAGATGAGCACATCAAAATTGCTTTCTCACTTTCAGACATCAACTGTATTGTTTATGGACTTCCTAATTTAATACTGGTATAATATTAATTTTACAGTCTGTTTGCAGTCTGTTTAAAGACTATGGACTTTGTAGTACACGTTAAGTTTCACAGTGCACAGCAGACTAAAGGTGTCTTGCATCTTGAGTTACCGCAGCTCAACTACTAAATTGTTAAATAAAAGGTCCCATAAAATGATGTAATTTTTGCTCATAGCTGACAGAATTAAATGTTTTTGTTTGAGACTTTGAATAGACCAACATGCCGACCCTTTCACCTACAGTATGTACGTATGTTTTGTATTAATAAAATGTTAATATTGTTGGTGAGTAAATAATAGATATCTTTAGGACTTGCACTTAGCCACATTATGTCCAGCAGGAAAGGGAGTGCCACCTTTTATGTCTACATGGGCAGCTTTTAATGATGAACAATTTATGTAGAATAAAAACTGTTTAAACTTTTATTAATTCATCCCGTCACCAGCCAGAATAGTGATTACACTTCAAAAATGTTTAAACTTTTATTAATTCATCCCATCACCAGCCAGAATAGTGATTACACTTCAGACAGAACCCAAGTACATTTCCAGCCAGATCCAATCCAATCATAAAACAAAACAGTTGATCTAAATGTTTACTAATCGGTAAACATAGACTAACACACAACCAGTGTTGGATGTTGGAGAAATTCTAGCATTTGCTTTAGCCAGAAATTGACATAATTTTATATTAGGTAGACTGGACAATATTCAGCAAAAATAAAAAAGGTAACTGGGCATGCAGTAAATATCAAAAGTAAGGGGAGCTGGGACTGAATCTTGTGGTGCACAACATAGGAGGGTGGCAGAAAACAACACCAAACAATACCTACTCTAGAACAAGGACACAAACAAGCATTCACAGCTGCCTTTACAACTATAGTCCACATTAAGACCATGATAAAGGGTTATCCTTTTGATTTAGCAGGACATAAGAAAGGAAAAATATATAGATAACACCCAAAATGGCCTTTTCTTTAATGTTTCTTGAAAAAACATTAATGGTGAACATGTATTTATCTGACAGGATCGTAAAATGCCCTCTTTTTCAAAAAGGACTTCTTCCACTTTGCTGTTGATGACTGAAACTAATCAATAGGGAAGTGGTGATTAGTAGGAACAAATACAGAAGTGATGAGGATTCTCAGACAGGAGATTTAACCTCCCTCCTGGTGGCAGTGACATAAAACAAACATATACCTTTCACCTCTGTATGGTCCGACAAAGCCTTAGGGATGTCAGAGTGATTTATTCCACTCTTTCATTGTCATTCTTTACTGTGTGGGGCATCCACGGTGGAGATAGGAACGCTTAGCTCCACTAGTCTGCTCAGCTTGAGCGGCACTGCTTGAAGCTGCTGTGTGATGGCGTGTACGAGTACGTCTGCCTGAAACTACATTTTGGTCTGGTTCAGAACGCAGCCCAGAACCAGGTCCAAAGTCCTCTTCCAGTTCTCCAGTAGGTTCCACATCCGTTTCACGATCTGAATCTGTTTGAACAAATACCCGGTCCAGCAGCTGGTCCAACATCTTTTGAGCTTGATCTGGCTTTGCTCTGATTTTCAGAATTCGAGTAGGTCGTCCTCCTGAGACTTGTATCTCTGTAAGGCTTCCGCTTCTTTCACGTTTCAGGATCCAGCATAGAAGAATTAATGCCATCAGAACCAGGACCACAACAACCACAGATACATAGAAGAGGTCAAAGGTCAGGTTCTGGGGCATTAGTCTCGCCCTTTTTCCTCATAATGGTATTTTAATAGTGGTGGGTAGTGATCAGTGGCAAACAGCAGTTTTCAAGTCTGTTGCTTGTGCTTCCATCACATGTTTTCCTTGGTATGTTATGGCAGTTTGCCTCCATCACGTTTCTTATCACCTTGGGTTCTTCCCACTACAGCCTCAGTTTTACACTGGAGCTATCAAACATGAAAGGAAAGTGTCACTCTTGACACAGTCCTTTCATGTTGTGCTTACACGCCACTACCATCTGCCATAATTTGCCAATGTGAAGCGCCGACAAACAGAAGTGAGCTTGGTTTGAACAAGTGATAAACACAAGTATATCAAGTTTGGACAATTGTTACACAGAAGTTCATACTGTAGACAAGAGGAAGTGAATCACTCACAACTCAGTTTGTACAAGTTCAATAACAAAGTAGCAAAAAATGGAAAATCAGTCTGTAGTTGAACCTCAGACAACACTAAAGACAGAAGCAGAGGCAGAAGTGTCTACAGTGACCCCTGTCTTGTCTGACATTTCACCTAATAATGACACCAATAAAACACAGGTTGATATGGACATTGAAGAAAAGCCAGCAGTTGAGATCTACACACAGACTGGTTATGTCTACCAAAACCCAATTAGCTACACCTACCAAAACCCAACTGACTATATGTACCAGTGTCCTACTGGTTATGTGTACCAGTGCCCACCTGACTATCTCTACCAATACTCCGCTGACCCTCTCTACAAATGCACAGTTAGTGATGTGTACCAGGGCCCCTGTAACTATACGCATCAAAGCACAGCAGGATCTACTTTCAGAGGTCAAGCATCCAACGTCATCAATGGTCCGACCCATAGTGACTACATAGGTGCCGCCTCTAATAACTTCAAGGGTCCACCCTACAATAATTACAGACACCCAGCTTTCACTAACTACAGACATCCACCATACAACGACTACAGACCTAAGGCCTTCCATAATTACAGACGCCCCACCTACAACAACTACAGACAAAGGACATACAGTAACTACAGACGTCCTGCCTCGAATAACTTCAGACATCCAGCCTACAATAACTATAGATGTCCACCCTTTAACAACTATAGAGTCTATAACCCAGGTCCCAAAAAGTACACGTGGAAGAACAACACACAGACAATTCACACTGAGCAAAAAGGAACTGACGCTAATATAAAATCAGAAAACCGTTCTGCAATAGAGACCAACGCACAGGCTGTAAACGAGAAGACAAATATGATCACACTGCTGAAGGAAAAAATCGCCATGCTTGACTTGAGAGCCAGATCAGACGGAAAAAAGGAAACCAAGAGCTACCCTAATGCTCAGGATGAGAAACCCAAGGATCAAGATATTGCCCCTCGGCTCATCAAGCCAGGGCAGGTAACCCCATCCGTGGCACTGATCCAGATGCAAGAAGACTTGGACAAGAAAAGACTTGAGTGGCATGAAGAAAAGTCCCTCCTTTTGGAGTCTTTAAGAAAGGCCAAAAAAGCCTTGGATGAAAAGAACAGAGAGACAACAAAATCTAGGGAGGAACTAATGAAGAAAATCATGAGTTTAGACAATCAAATTGAAAACATTCAGAAAAAGCCAAAAAAGTTAACGATGAAGAAACTATTCTTACAACTTCTCAAGAGAACTGGAGAGACCTAACTCTACATCCATGACTAACAGCATTAACCAAAACAGATGAAACTCATATTTAGACCAAACCCGATTTTCACTACAGCGAACACAGCAGAAAACAAGGATCTAGACAAGAGTCAAGGTGTAGTCTGCTACCCATCAACGTCACTCTACAACATGACTACAGAGATATCTACATTAGCTTTGTTGCAAAAGTGACAAATCCTGTAAGATAACCTATTTTTGCCATCTCACCAGTTTGTAAACACACTAAGATGGGCAGATGTAAATGCATCTTAAAAGTATTATGTTGGCAGCAGGTGCTGCTGCTATTAGACGTGTTAAAAAAAGTTATTGTGGAGAAGCCAATGCCATCAGTGGTACCAATTATTTTGTTTGATGATATTATTAGAAGGAAATTAACTTATGTGATCATCTGCAGGTTTACATCCTGTTTACCTATTGTACTATTTTTAACTATAAAAATTATGTAATGTATTATAATAAATTAGTACACACATAAATTATATTATTTATATATTTGTTTAAATAAAGCACATTATGTTCCATAAAATAATACCAAAATTACCTCTCAATCATATTTTACCTCTTGTGGTTCTGCCACTGGTCTCAGGTCAGTGACATTTGTGATCTTCATTTATTACGTTAAACTTTAATGAAAAGATCATTTCTCCACTACGACTGTCAAAGAAACGAAGACTTGGCTATTTAACATTGACATAACCTGTCAGTAATTCAAGTCCACTGGACTTGACATGTCTGACTAACAAGCTCTGATCTCAGCACATGGACTCTTGTAAACTAGTCTTATTTTCTCTGCTGTACTTTAGTTGGTAAATAAACATTTTAACTTTTCCATCTTGATACAAACGGTTTTTGTAATTCTTTGCTCACCTTCTTTAGAACAACCCTCCATCAAATACTTTTGCTTTCAGTCCACACAGAAACGACTTCATCCTCCTAATAATTGAGGGAAACAAATTGCATTTAATTAGGACACAAAACATGCAGGGTATGTCACATAATTCAGCCCTTTGACTCAAAACTCACCTTTAGTTCATGTCGCCACACCTTAGAACTTGAGGCTTAAGACAGACTCCAAACTGGTTCTTTGGTAACTATTTACAAATAGTTCCAAGTAATGTATTAATTTCTTTTTAGTTACAAGGTAGAACCAGGAACAGATCTGCCTTGGGCTATTAGGTTCAGTCATGCTGATCATTGAGTCTTAAGTCTGAAAACGTAACAAAAGGACGTCTAAAACAAAAAGAACCGGTTTCAAGACTTAGGTGACAAAATAAAAACTTGCGAGAGTTGATCGCACAAAGACCCAGAGTCATGGCTGTCAGGTTGGTGGAATCCTTGAACAATTAATGAAGAATGTTTATACCAAATATCTCTAACTTGTGACCAATATTTGTCCAGGTGAGCGTGAAAAATGAAACCAAATAAAGAGCAACAGCAAATGATGCAAATAGCTTTACTCAAACAAACTCTCAAGACTACATAAACGCTCGAAGGATAATCTGTAATCGAGTCATTTCTCTACAGGAGTGGTATCAGAGCAGTAAAGCAGGTAACAATGTGATAACAGATGACATGACGGTCACATGCCACAGTTTTCTGTGAAAATACATAAACAACACGTCTTTACAAAATAAAACAACATAGAAAATCCTCCATGTCACGACTTCACTGAAACCTAATGAACAAAAGAGATTCTTCATCCAACAGAGTGACAAAGGCAGATCATCTCAGCTGGTCCTTCATCTGCCTGTGACGATGAGTTGACGGGTGAAGGACATCATGACAATGTTTTCTAAACAAGTGCAACTTAAGGAGGATAGAGGGAAATGTATATTTTAAGACCTTTATTAAATCGCACCAGAAACATGGAACCGACGTTTTCATCAACCATGTTTCTGTGTCTGTAAAACTGGGACTTAAATTAAAACGTCAAAGGGCAAAGCGTACATATTCAGTGGTGTAAAAAATAAATGTTAATTACAAACCTGACATTTAAATTCTTCTATGTACTGTAGTAAAAATAGAACATACAACGTCAAGCTCAACCTCTGCAATATCATTGTCTTTCTTAAAGCACTTTTAGTAATAAATAGCTTGTCAAATGTAAGTCAAGATATAAAAGCTACCACGCAACTAACTGTAAAGGAATGCAGTCAATGGTTAGATTTTCAGAACAGGTCTCCTTATTATAGGGATGTCCTTCCTATGTTTGAATACACATCATCCAATCACTGCCACTGTTCTGTCAACCTGGGATGCTGGGGGTGGGTTGGGTTGGATTAGTCCAGCATAGCAAATTATAATATTCTAGTTAAAAAATGTAGACCCCAGGTTTAAGAACTATAGTGAAGGAAACTGGGGGAAAATTTAACTTGTCTTCTCGTTCCACCATTATGCAGATGACTCTAAAATGTATGTACATGTCCTGTAAAAACCATGGTTAGCATTAAATCTTCCTTTTTTGGTTTCCTGGCAATCTACTTAAAAACTGGTGTAGTAATTAGTGATTTCGATGTGGTGTACAAATATATATTGACCTTATATAAACACCTTAAAGGTGAAACTCAGAGGGGATAAGTCTTTAGAAAACACATTTGGCTTCATTAGATTTTGGGCCACTGTGAGTTGTTACACCCCCAAAAAAATTATTTAGTGGGATTATGTGCATCTTTGCAGCTTTTTTGTTACTTTAAACGTAATTCATTTGTACCGTATTGTTTCTACATGTCTTTATTAATAAAGTGGACACTATAAATGGCTTTTCCTACCTGAGTTCCTAACAATTAAATAGGAAGAGTACAAATAAGTCATCACTCTGATCTGATACCTGTCTGACTTCTCGTGACAGGCACTAATGGCAGCAGGACAAGAGTTAAGTGACAAAAAAAAAATCTCATTTCATCTTGGTTTTATGCTCAACTGGTGAAATCAAACAGTATTCACTTCAAATTTAAGTTGTTTGTTATTTTTAAAAATGGTGTCTTGATGCATCATCCTACTGTTACATACTGTACTGTGTGAGTGGAGTTCTATAAAACATAAACATCTGCTAATTAAATACATAGTAACAAAGAAAGGTTATTTTGTTTTTGACAGGATTATATTTGACTTAATAAAAACAGACAAGTGAGATTAAAAAGTAGAGAACAGTCCAACGTGTGTCTGCAAGGAAGTCTGGAGGAGCTACACTCTCTCTCTCAGTCATTAGCTGCTAAGGTTAAAGTTCAGTCCGTCAGTGCTGGTGGTCTGTTTGTCTGTCTCTCTCTCTCTCTCTCTCTCTCTCTCTGTGTGTGTGTGTGAGCGGACAGAAAGTGAAGGTTTATCATTTTACTCCATGATGGTTCTGTAGATCACAGGCTCAATGTAGTCCCCTCTGTAACGTGAGTTGATCACTCTCTGTCTCTTTGACTCCTGGATGATCTCCTTCTCTTCGAAGATTCCATCAAATCTCATGTCTGAAGCTTTGGACTGCAGAGACAAGCACTGAATGTTTATACACAGGAGGAAGCACTTTGCTTAGATATTATTGAATTTTATTTAAGTTATTTTTTTATTTAATATTTAGTTGTTTTAATTTTTTAATTTTAAATCTCCATATTACTGTGATGTCTTTACATATACAGTATACATACACATATATATATAAATATATACACACACACACACACACACATTGTATGTTATATTTATAATTTAAACGTCTGTCATATAAAGTAAACATCTTAAAATTGGTCAAAATTCTACTACGTAATGATTTCTTCTGTCCTGAACACTGGAACCTTGGGTTTGAAAACGTTTTAAAAATAAAACTAATTTCTTTGGTTTCCCGGTGAACTTGGTTGTACTCACCAGTCTGGACTTGACTCTCTTTGGCAACTCCTCGTCCAGAGTGTAAACATCGTCCCTCTTGGCTGTGAGCTGTGACCCGTCCTCAAACTCTACCTGCATCACAGTTTACCACAAAGACCAGTCAGGTCACACTGTGAAACTCCCCTTAATTGACTGAAAAGATGTTTACCACATGCTGCTGCGAGTTTACCACATGGTTGTTAAAGGAATCACGTACTGAACACACTTCCAACTTACCAGGTACATTTGGACGACATGAGCTGACACAAATTTGGCCCCATAGACCAGTCCGTCCGTCCACCGCACCTGAACCACATCCCCCTGGGGCGGGGGTCCGAGCTGAGCACAGTCTCTGCTCTATTGGGTCACATAATTTTGCATGATTATTCTGTTTTTTTTTTTTTTAAATGTCTGTATTTAAGTTGACTAAAAATATGATCAAATACACAAAAAAATGCAGCCTTTAGTAGTGGTGGAATAAAAAAACAGATTAAACTGTGTCCATAAATAATGACTAAAAGATAAAAAATAAATACAGTTCCTCCTTCAATTCATTAATGGTTTTCTTCCTGTCTGTTAGTTGACTGGAAGAATGCAATGAATTTAACAACCTCTCATGTTTGTAAACAGCATCTCATTCATATTTAAGATTTGAAATGTATTCCATCGAGATGCCATTAATTCCTTTTTATGACCTCACTAGAGCTGCAGTTCTACAGTGACAGCAATGACACCTACCACGATGTCTTCAGGAAAAAGATTGTCGCTGAAGGAGCCGTCATCGAAGTTGACTTCATAAAATGTCTCCTTGGACAACTTCACCACGTCACACTGGTAGTAGCGGCCGTTCTTGTGCTTACATATGACCTTCTGACCCACCGTTAGCTCGTGCATGGCTGCTTTGTTTCGCTGTAGAGACAATTTGAGAAAATGTTTTACCAGGATGTTGCTTCAATTTGAAATTTCCACAAAACAACAACTAGAGTTTCTTACCTCAATCTGCGTGGGGCCTTTGTGTCGACAGCACGTGACGTGGACCACAAAGGGCCACTCATCAGGTTGCATGAGAACTCCAGCTGCCTGTGCACAGGTGGGGTGGTAAGCCGTGGGACAACGGCCGTGAGAACATTGTACGCAGCAGCCGGACGCCTTCTTCATCCGCTTCTTACAGTAGTAACATTTCTGTCAGGGATGAAAACCAGAAGACTGAAACACAGGATTATTTATCCTACAAATGTCAGAAGAATTCAATGTCATTGTGTTAAATGGATGTAGTGGTAGTCAAACCATTCTGACAGCAGGTACTTTATTTTGCCTCTCATCGCAAAACGCAGACTTAAAACAGATTTATGGAGACAAACAAAAAGATTTTTAACTCTCAACAAAAGTAGTGTGGATATCTCAACATCACTGTTGACAGAAGACAAACACGTTGTCTTTCACCTTCACAGCATTTGATAGGTACCGGAAACAATGTTTGAAAAAAAAAGCACAAAAAAACCTACTGAGTTTGGACAAAAAGAAAGTTATTGGACTCACGAGTTTGAATCTCTGCAGCGGAATTCCACTTAAATCCACAGGACTTCTTTCAGTGATGTTCACAAAACGGGCTTCCAGCACAGCTACTGCACACAGTACATGGACCCACCTGTGTGACACACACACACACACACACACACAGAAAAATAGGTAAATATTTATTATCATGCACAAGGTGTTTTTTTCAGCAAAATTGTGTTTCAGGGCAGGGAACAGACACACAAATGATGTGAACATTAGGACAAAATAAATCACTGAAATAATATTAGATGGAATTAAATACTTGTTGTTGTTGGCTTTCTGTAAGGCTCCACCTCTTAGTGAACACAGGCAACAGTTCTGCAAACAAAAAAAACAAAACAGATACGGATTCTTGTAACAAACGAGTAAAAAAACAAGAGAAAAATTACAAAAATCTGACAATTCCATTATTGATGTCACTTATCGATTTAATTCCTTGACCATTCTTTTATTAATTCTCGTCGTGTTAGGAAATGAATTCATTTAATTGGTAGGTGTAAAAATAAAAATATAGAGTATTCCTGGTGTATTCTGACATGCAGAGTAAAGTAGCTGTCGAACGTTGACTGACCTCAGTCATGGCGTTAGCTTTACAGCGAGCACATTTCCACTCCTTGCTCACACTTCTTGGATCTACACCGTAACAGCCTGGAAATATCAGAAACAAGAAACTTTGGTGTTTGCAAATATGTAACTAACGGCGAGTGGGTTGAAGACGTGTGTGTTAACTGACTGGTGTGAACCCTGACGCTGCACTGAGAGCAGCTGATGAGGAGGCTGGTCCCATCTTCCTCCAGGTGAGGCGTCACACTCTGCTGCTCGCTCTCCGAATCTTCTTCAGTGGTGGTGGTGAAACACATCTCTGGGATCAGAGGTTTGGTCCGCATACCGCCGCCAGGCTTCATGATGGAACTGCTGCTGGTTTTGGCACGCTCAGTCTGACAAGGAAGAAAGAGAAAAACTCACAGGACTGAAGCTGATCAATAGAAACCAGGTTCTGGTTTCAGTCCTGTCTTCATACCAACTTCACAAACACTGACATTATAGGACATAGAGGGTCTTAGGGCCCAGAGTCCAGACCAGTTACCTGCTGGTACGTGTGGAACAACAGGCAGATAGAGCAGTATGGAGGTTTGGAGCCGATCCGTTGGTTGTATTCTTTCTCCTTCTTCAGGTTGTGAGGTCTGCTCTGCCACAGGTGAGCCAGAGGTTTGGCCCAGTTTTCTCCTTCTGGACCGCCTTCCTCCACTGGAGGAGTCTCTTCTGCAGCCTCTGTACAAAAGACAGAGCACAAATTTAAAACAACAACAATAAAAACAAACACGACTATGTGATTTGACTGAATTTAATGAAGAATTGATGAATGGAGACAATAACAAACCATCGTCACTGATGCCGTCCTTTATCAGTGGATGATGACCTGGCAGCTGCCCCAGGTCACTCTGAGGCTGCGGTGCTTTATTTTTAGCGGTCTCTTCTGCCACCTGCTGGAGATAAAAGCGCACTGTAAGTAGTGCATTATTTTTGCTTTTTAATTTGGAGAGCCACATCTGTTCAATCTTAGACTATCTGACAACGTTATTGTGTCCATTTAATGAAACTTTACTGGAAAAACTCCTTCCAAACGCCAAAAGAAGGTTGTTAAGCTATGTTGTTATGAGGTTAGCAAGTGAGTAAAAAGTTAGCCTAGGTGAACAAATAATGAATTGACTATTAAATACAAACGCAACAACAACCAAATATGGCTTTTTAACAGCTGCTTGGGTTTTTAATGCCTCTGTGCCTGCACACGAGAGGACAACTTTACATAACTGCTAACTTACTTTGGCACAGGTAAGAATGCCCTGTAGAAGAGTCAAGTTTCTGTAACTTGTTTTCAGGGGAAGGTGACAGCCCGACTGTGTTTACTTAAATCTACAATATTAGAACTGTATTGATGTGACACTGTCTGAATCTACTCACTGTTTTGCTGTCTGCCTCTGTGCCATTATCGGTGCGCTCTCCGTTCTTCTCCTCCTTTGTTGGAACTTCTTCTTCTGCGTAGTCTCCTTTGGCATAGCTGTGGACGTGCAGGACGTCTGCTGGACTCAGTGTCCTCTGAAATGCCTTGTTTGCTGGAATGGAGCTGCTGTCCAGTCGAGGCTCGTCAGTTTTGACCTCCTCAGGGGACAGATCCGTGGCCTGGTTCTTCACGGGATCAGGAGGACAGACGTCTGCAGGAGACTCTGTGCTCTTCTCTTTTTTTGTTGGGCTTCTTCTGTTTGTAGTCTTCTTTGTTGTGGCTTTGGTTGGGGATTTCATCTGCTGCTTGTTGTCTTTTTCCTTCTTAGGCTCCACCTTGACACTAACTGAGTCTGAAACAGGAATAGAGAAAAACTTAGAACTCTTTAGTTTCATATTTATGATTAACTTCATGTGCTGAAGGAGTGAGCTCATAGTATAGCGGTTAGCATGCCTGCCTCAGAAACAGGGAGTCCTGGGTTTGATTCCCAGAGGAACCACATGCTTGGCCTCTGCTGAGGGCAGCCTGTTAACAGTGTATCTGCTGTTAACACAAGAATTTCCTAAATATGAGATCAATATAGTGCTATTATTATTATTATTAGTACCTTTATCGGTCTTGACGGGAACTTTAGCTGGAGACTCTTTGTGCGAGAGCTTGAACCTCTTAGGCTCCACATCCTCAGTCACCTTCACCAGCGGTTCACTTTTGACATTTTCAGCTACTTCAAGCTTATGCTTCTTTGCAGCCCGAGGTCTTTGGCTTATAAGAAACATGGAAAACAAAAAACAAACAAACAATGGAATCAGCCTTTTTGTTAACTTTTTTTTTTTTTATGAAAGTATTTGATGTAGGGCTGTCAATGTTACCATGTTAACCACAATGATTAATTTTTAATTTTATGCATCTTGATTAATCACAATTAATTGTGAATGATCTATAGTTTCCCTGTGCTTTATCAGACTGAAAGATGTATTAGTGTTTTGTCTGTGATTAAATTCAGACCTTTTTTCATCCTTGACAGAACCAGTGGTTTCCTCAGATCCATCTTTACTCGGTTTGTCTTGTACAGATTCCGTCTGGTCTTCCTTCAGGAACTCTGCTGCCTCTGGTGTTGCTTTGCTGTGATCTATGGTTGTTTTATCTTCACCAGCTTTCCATAACTTGTATCTGTCAGGCTGAAACTTGCGTACAAACACGTCCATTGGGATTTTCACCGTGTCCTGACGACAAGTACACTGGAAAGATAAAATGGAGCAGAAGTTTGTTTTGAACTTTTGTGTATTATACTGGGATGAACAAAACTGAATCTGTAGGAAATAGCAGTAGGTTAGTGACTTTGTGCTTGTATGTATGATTAATCATTGATGAATATTTAAGACTGATTGTTGGTACCAGGGTTGCATTTTTGCCATAATCAATCCATCGCTGAGTGGCAAAGTTGGTGGACTCAGCACAGTTGAATCCATGGTTAAAACCAGCGTGATAAGCGTAAGGAAAGGTGACAATGAACTGCCCTTCCTCCTGAATGACCTGGATGTAAAAAAGTACCACAAACAGTTACAGGTTTAGAAGCCTTTTCAGAGCTTGATTTAACATTAACCTTAGGAAAGTTAGACTTAATTAGTTTCCTCCACTAAATCCTAACGCTCACCTTCTCGTATGGTATTCCATATTTTTTCAGGATGGACGGTGAAATTAATGTCATCTTGTGACGTAGGAAGGCTTCACAGCTCTGGTTGTTTCCTGGGAAAAAACCTAAGAAAAAAAACAATAAAATATAAATACAACATATCTCACTTTATTTGTCACCCTTTGTTGGATAAACAGAATAAAAACATTTATTCACCTTTGGCAATTCGCTCCAGTCTTTTACCATGCTCTGGAGGAACAACATACCTAGGAACCCAAAGCAACAAAATGTCACGTTCTTTTCTCTTTAAAAAGGATGCTTTACTTTGGACAAGCCCTCGAACTTTTATACAACTTTATGAGAAAAGGTGGAACTTTACCAGGAGGTGGGCTCTCCAAAGTGCAGGTAGTTAATGCCGTACAGGTCCATGTCCTCGGTGTGCCATGGAAACGCGCTCTTCCACATCCCAAAGAACAGGCAGGGTGAGTTAACTCCTTTAATTTTAATCCCACTCTCACTCTCCATGGAATCGAGAATGGTGTTGAGGCGACCAATGTTCCATTCAGTCACTTCCTGTATTTTAAGAATTTAAAATAAGTATTTGTTTAATCTGGCACTTTGAAAACCCCCCCAAATGATTTCTGCTCAGACCTGAAAAAACCCCAAATGATTTCTGCTCAGACCTGAATCCAGAAGCTAAAGATTTCAGTAAAAACAGTAACAAAGTTGTACACCAAAGCTCTTAGTCAATGAACAGTAAAATTAATAATTTATACTGTGGGGAGAAGGGGGGGTGGAGGGGGCTGGCGAGTATTTATTCTGGAACAGTAAGATATTATTGTTTAAGATTTAGGATTAGGATTATTCAATCTAATGCTACTCACTGAATCGTACAGCGTTCCACTGACATCAGCTCCATAAAGAGGTGGATTGAATGTAAGATTCTTCCAGAACTTCCTCTCCAGCTCATCAAAATCCACATATCTGGGAATACAGAACCTGCCAGAAGAGAAGACTGAGTTTCATCATTCAAAAACAGTGACAGCCACTTCCTCTTTGAAGAATCCAGACTGACTTGTCCATGTTGGAGGTTTTGCGAAAGTCGTGGACAGTCATTGGTTTCTTCTGGATGTTGTACTGTGTGAACAGCCCGGACTGACCCGTCACCACCTGCTGAATGGGAGCAGGCATGACCAGGTCGTCAATGTCATCATAGGTTCGCCTGGGTTTCCAACCTTTGGGTGGAATAACCTGCAGGAAAAGGAATAAAAATACCAGGATGAATAAAATAAGTTATGCAGCGGTGAAAACATTTCTGGATCACTGTCTGTGCACTCTTCACAGAGAAGAAGTTAAGTGGACAGGGACCTAATCTTACTAGAAGGAGTTAAGGGTTCAAGTCCAGTGGTGTACTGTTGTATGTCTAGGCAGAACATTTAACACTACAGTTAACTGATCAATCACAAGAGTCAAAGATTACTCACCACTGCCATTCCAGCTCTGTGTGCTCCTTGTGACTCCATGTAGGCGATGTATCGGCTGAAGTCTTTGAAGTCCCCATTAGAGGGCGTGAATGTCATCACCTTGACAATGTTTTGAGTGTCTGTGGTCATCTTGTCTTGATAGTTGGATCCCACCCCTGATAAAAATTACAAAAGACATTTAGATGGTGACAAACTCTGATTTAAATGTATTTGAACTTTGAATTTGTTTGATGAACAACTGCTTAGCGATTAAATTAGTTGCACTTAGGTTCACACTTAAAACCAACATGTACATACTAACTTTTCACTCACTGAAGCAATAAAATAATTCCACTTATTTGCAGATCAACTTTCTAAAACTTAACTAAATAAAGCCGTAAAGCGGCGAAATCAGTTTCTACCTTTTAATGACATTATCTCATTGATTCAGAATCACTGCACAGTAGAATTTTTAGGAACTCGTTCAAGTGCAACAGCTGGCAAAATAACTTAATATTCTAATGCAATCCCCAGAATTGAATCGCATATCTTTAGTTTATTTCACATTCCTCTATTTGGACCAACTCTTACACGACCAAACTGTTTGGGGGCAGATCGTAAATTAGCGTTTCTTTCCGCTCATCACTCTGATTGGCTAAGGAGTCCGTTCGTTAACTACACAGTCCAATAACATACCAGCTTTGGTGAAAAAAACTCATCTGGCTTAGCCGCTAGCCAACATGCTAACTGCGAGACAGATAGCTTTACTGCGTCTCAGAAACTAAAAGTGAAGTGAATTGATAACAGAAACGCTGTCAAATTTAGACGTGCACATAAACCTTTAATATTTCGCACACAAGGTAAAGAGCTGCAACAGAACATGCAGTAGTTATTTGAAGCAGAAGCGACCGTTAAGTGTGTAGCGGAGTCGGAGATGTGACAGCTGCCTCTGCTAACAGACTAGCAAACACTCAGACGGACTTTGTCGCTCCTTCACTGTGGCTCCTGGGCTTCAACAAACACAGTAGCAAAATATGACAACATTTACTTACACGCACGGATAATGTCCACGACTTATCTCATTTCGTAGGTCACAGATAGTAGAGTAGAAACACAGCCATCATTAGTCCGAGTGAAGAAGACTGTCCTCCATTATTCAGGTGACGCATGCCCAGTTTGTATTTGTTTACATGGAGCAGAAAGAGGGAGGAGCTTCGGGGTGCCTTAACCAATCACAGCGACGCGAACGCCGGCACATGCCTGTGCTGTGTTGTAGTTTCAGAGTACAGCTGATAAATGAAGCAGCAGCAGGAGCAACGGGAACGGTTTTATTGAGGATATTCTCAGAAAAGTAGAGTTGAAATTTTGTGCTGAGATTTCTTTTCTTTATACCGTTGTTTCTTTCCGTATTCCCTTATTTCTTACTAATATTATGCTGAAAAGGAGGAGCAGATTCTTGGCGGACACGTCTGTTACTCTCAGGAGATGAGAAACACAGACTAAAAAATGCAGGACTGCAATAAAAGTGCTCTTTCCATAGGAATCCTCAGTCAAACCCATAAGATGAATTAATCATGGCCAATTCAACCAAATGTGGGTTGTTAAGTTGAAGTTTTGAGATAGTGTAGATGCAAACGTTGGTTACAGTAAGTTCGCTGTTTAGAAAATATCAATGGAAGTCTATGCAGTGAGATATTCAGCAATTTATAGGCTCAAAACAAACACAATAATGGTTCCGACCGCAGTCATTGAGTTCATTTTATATCCTGAGACTTCTGTGTAGTTCACCCGAAAACCAGAAGAGAGCAGTCTTTATCCATCAGCTTCCATCTATCCACCCATGCTGTCTGACTGTCATAAACTTAATAAGTAAAAAAACAAACAAAAAACACGTCACCTCATTCTTATTATAAACCCAAGTTTTCAACTTTATTAACATCAAGATATTCAAGACCTTGTCTGTCTTTTTTTAATTAACAAATAGAAAACAGATCATGTATACAACAGATAGGACCAATATACCACATCTCTACCTCTTCCCAATCCACTTCATCTCGTCCAGTGAAAACCAGTATCTCCATCCCCAACACATGTGTTTGAGATGATAAATGACTTTAACTCCAGTAAGATTCAGCAAACCTGCTTGGTGTCATGTCTCAGTGAAGACATGAATGTAAACAGAAGGTTGTAATTAATAAAGTCACCTCCGACATCTATTTTAGCTTCAGCATGTTAATTTGGACTTTCTAGTTGCACATTCAACCTGGTAAACATGTCATCCTTCTAAATCTGGGATAAAGACTGAGAATAAATGTGAAAACTTCTCCGTTTCAACCAATTGCAGTTTTTTGAAACCTTACAGGAAAGCAGTTTTGGTTGTAGTACCACCACTGGCCTACAGGGGCTAACTTTAAACAAATTTGGGCATTTTAAACACCTTTTTAACAACGCCTGTCTTTTCTCATAAAATATGCAGTCAATCTTTTTTTTTGGTATGAACTCAGTGACAGTCATTAGATTTTGTTGCTAAATATGAACTGAATTGTACATTAAATGTTATGTTAGAGCTCAGAAAAAGTCCAAGTATTTGTTTTTAGCCATCACAGCCTGTCTGAGGCTACATGTGCTGGAAAATGAGTGAAGAAATTTGTCTAATTGATTTAGTTCTGTGTGAAGCTGCTTCACTCAAAGGTTGGAACTTTCAGTCAGTTATAAGCTGTTACAATGTGTAACATAATTTTCCTGCCAATGTTTTCCTGCCAACTCTTCGGCCTTTCCTGCCAACTGTTTAAATCTGGGGCCTGTGTGAAGGGCTGCTAAAGGCAAAGAGGTCAATCCCTGCTGACATCAGACCAAAGATGGAGAGCATCACGGGGAGGTCAACATTCACACTAACACCTGCTGTCAGATTGAATGTCTTCAATAAATCCAATATGCATGTTTTGGAATATGCAACACAAAAAAGTACCCAAAAATAAAGAAGCGAGCACACACAGGAACATGCAAACTTCACATTTTTGTCTTGGAAAAAAAATGGGATAGGAGCCAGTGACCTTCTGGTGAAGAAAGAGGTTGTTTTTTTTTTTTGTTGCTTAGATTGGGTATAAAGTTTATGTAAAGACATGATTTGAAGCTCTGAACCTGTTAGACTCATTGGTTGATGACAGAGTTATGATGCAACTCTAATTTAATGCTGGTCAGTATTAAACCAGCATTAAACTACCATCTGGCAGCGGGGCTAAAACCTGTAACTTTGTCCTTTGCTGTTTGGCATTAAAAAACAGAACCACGTGTCATTGTTTTACGTATCTGTGATGTGTGTTTGGAACTCTGTTCACTGGTTTTTGCTGGAGTTCTGACAGACAGACACTTAGGTTAAGACATCAGAAAGTCAGAGAGATTTCACAGGATTAGTTCACAGACATGAGAGTTTAGTCAAATCCTCCTCATGTACAGACGAGGCTAACGTTCAGCTTTGAGTCTTGATTGATGTTCAGAAAATATCTCATCGTATCTTTAGAGTATCCTGTGTATTTTTTTCTTTTTCCCCTCCATGCAGTGCTTTGTAAGCTGCGTGGTTCCATCATCATCGCTGTTCTCCTGTCTTCGATCTGTAGAGGACATTTAGGTCTGTACATGCTTATACTGAGATGTCGTAGGCATCGGCAGTCTTTTTGGGTTAACAACCAAAGATTTATTTCATCCGAACCATCACCGCTGGGTCGGACGTAGAGACGTTAACGTTGAAGCCACGTTTCCTCCTGACAGGAGCCAGTGGAGTATTGTTACTGTCAGACTATATCATATATATCTATGGTAAAAAATAAAATGATTAGCAGCTGTGAGTATAAGCTCTGCAGTATTAATAATAACATGTTGAAAATACATGTTCTTAGTGCTAAAAAAATAACATAGGAATAAACAAATAATAATAAAAAGACCCATTAAGACGTATAATAAACCAGTGTGAATGAATACAAAATAAATTCTAAATATATATTTTGACAGCATAATGAATATAAATGCAGAAAATAAATGTGTTTGTGCTGTAAGGAGAAGGTGAAATCAGGAAGGCGGAGGGAGGATAAAGCGAGACCAGGAGTTTTCTTTTCTCTTTTCTTTTTTAAAATGAGGTTTTGGTGTCATTTCTGTGGCAGGATAATGGAATCAGTCCAGTAGGGGGCGATCTGTTCTGTTCTGTTTCCTCTCCTCCCCTCCTAGGTGTCTCCCCCGTTTGACTCTCCTCTCCACGGCCCCTCCTCATCAAGCCACACGGGCTGATGGAGCAGAGTAGATATGGCTCAGAGGAGACACCGGGTTCTTCTGTGGGCTTCTGTCGGCCTGGGTGGAGGAGGTTGGGTGGAGGTTATGTTGCATAGTGATCGAAGCTTCCCAGGTACTCCAGAGAAGCCCGGTAGCACAGTTGATACTGGTCCTAAAGTGACAAAACACGTAAAAAAAAAAAAAAAAGTTTGATTCTGTAGCTGATTAAAAAGTAAATTTATATTATTAATAGTATTGGAGAAACAAAACACAATAAAAACAAAAAACAAAAAACAAAACAAGAGCTCCGTCCAGTTCGTCCAGTTTACTTGTTGAACTGAAATATGTTTCTGGGACATTTTGGACCATTTTAGGAGCAATATTTAGCAATAAGTTTTACTTAGTGTCCGACAGCACTCATTTTTTAGTTAAAAAAGCTCCCCCTTTCTGTCTTTGTTAAAGCTGTTGGCTGCACACTGAGTCTTTTTCCCGGCACTCTCAGTGTATTTTATTGTTTTCTATGATATTATTTGTTTTCGAGGTTAAAGAAACAAACAAATATTTCTCTTTAGGCATACACTCAAAATGTAATCAGATCTATATGACATTATTTTTTGTTATTTTCTATATTTTTCTCATTTAAGTATACGCCCCTTGCTTTTCTGGATTTGCTCGTACGAATTCTCTGACCCTAATGAGAACATGCACAGATGAAGTTCCAAATTAGTTCAAAGTGACTGTTTGAGTTTGCACACATGCAGTGGCCTCTCCTCTGTCCCACCTCTGTCTGCACCATGGCCGGCCTCTGAGTTCTGAGTGTCTTGACGGTTTGGAAAAGGTCGACCACGCCCTCGTACCTCATCCTCTCCAGGACAATGCTCAGGGTGATGAACACACCGGTGCGACCAACACCAGCACTAATATACACAACAACAACAATGATAATAATAATAATAATAATAATAATAATGTCAATGTGGTTCCCAAGCTATTTTTGCAGTGCACTCATTCTGTAGGTCGGCCTACTGCACCCAATAATAAAACTCCACTCAACTTATTTCAGAATATTACAATCCTGTTATTCTCACTAAACAAAGGGGAAAAAAAAAGCAAAATCCAAAATATCAAAATAGTAAATTGTTTACCTTCCTGTGTCCCCCTGTAATAGCTGTGCAGCCCCAAAGGAGCCTTTGCCTTCCCCATTTTGGGAACCACTGACCTACATAAAGGGATTCAGACCTGCAGTGCACAGTGATTGGTCCGTCTTGTCCAAACTGCTCCTTGGTTTTGTGGACCTGACCAATGAAGTCAATGAATCCCTCCCCAGTTTTTGGCACTCCCTGCTCTGGCCAGTCGGTGAACTGAAATTGTCTGATGGTCCTTGACTGTCCGTCCTGACACACACACACACACACACACACAGGGATTCACATTGTTAGTATTAGTGCGTCATTGAAACATAGTCTCTGGTTTTAATTTGAATGTTCACAGCAGCTCGTGTTATTTATTTTATATTAAAGGAAGGTTGAATATTTATATTTTTTTCATTTTTATTTTGAGTTTAAATGATAATGGATTATATCATATCCAGCAGGGGGCGCTCTTAGCACCTTCCAGCAACTTGCTGTAATATTATTTTCTGTTTCTGCTTCGCGATCATTGAACCTACCCTGGCGTCCGTGACCTTGAACTCTCTCAGGATGTACTGCGGCATGTTGTACTCAGCCATGGGATCCACCACGAAGTACTGGTAACGAGCCGAACGTTCAGCGGGCCAATACTGGTGGCACTTTTCCTGGAGAGTGGACAGAGAAGATGGAGTATACAGTTATGAATACAGAATTATGGTATGGAGGCTCAACATGTGGTCCGTGGGTCGAACAGGGTTAAGCTATAGCTTGCCATAGCTTGCCAACACAAGAACATTTTATAGCCCACAACTTGAATACCACATAGATACCATTAAAAACCTCCATGCAACTGTTTGACATGGGCCAAATAGAACTGATTTATGTCGGATTTGGTCAAAGTGATGATGCATTACCCGTCCCATCTCTCTGAGCTTGGTGAGCATGACCACGATGGTGGAGTTGTGTTCCCACAGCATTCTCCAGAAGTCCTCCGTGGTCTCGGACAGCGGGCCCTGGGTGGCTATGTACGCCCTCTGCTGCCTGCAAATAGAAAAGACAAGAAAATAATAGGGATTACTTCAATTCTCCAGAATCACAGCTTCTATTTTTGTTTTTTGTTTTGTTTTGTTGAGTTGAGTCTTTATCTACTGCAGTATTACTACACTGTATACTTCTTGGCTAAAAATATTTTAGCTCTTTATTTGTGTTGCTTTTCTTTGTGTCCTCCTACAGGACACCTGCAGGAACAGTCTGAATATTTTCAGTCACGTTGGTATTCAGCCACCAGCACATCCCTGTTCTTAACAGATTGGACTTCATTGACATTCAGTCACTTTTCAACAGAACTCTCAGGTGTTAAATATTTCATTTACTGCATCCCCTTAAAATAACTTTGATGACGCAGCTGCTCAAACGCGATTAAAATGGTTTCACTTGAACACTGACTCTGTGAAACAAGCACCGTTCCAGGACAGATGCCATCCCAGATGCTCAGCTCCACAGCCCTGGGCAGGCGCTCGGTGTAACCACTTGGTGGCGGTGTTGAGCCGCGCTGCAGAGGCTTCTATTTATCCTCACCCAACCTCAGTATTGCTTACCTGATTCCATCAGAGCTTAGTGGTGTGTGTTTGTATAAAAGTGATGACTCGAGGCGCTGTAGGGTGTGGGTGTGTGTGGGTGTGTGTGTGGGTGTGTGTGTGTGTATGTGGGTGTGTGTGTGCCACTGTCCCATTCTAAGGATTTCTTCTGCGAAACAAGCAGCAGCACAGTTGCTCAAATATACAGCAGCCACATGAAACTCTAAGAAGTAAAGCTGCTGTGTGCTGATAGAGTCTGGCTGCAGTGAAGCAGAGGATCATGGGTAAATTTGTTTACAGGGAACCTTTCCAGTTTTTGAAGTATGGTTTTATAAAGCATTGACACCTGGTTGCATTGCTGGTGGGGGTGTGTCACACAGAGACTGTATGTAAGAAATGAACAACTGAGGCTGTAAAGCAGGGATCCCCAAGCCCCGGTCCGCAGACCGGTACTGGTACATAGATAATTTGGCACTGTGGGACATAATGTGGGACATAGTGAAAAATAATTTTACTTGTGCTGATTTACTTCATTCAAAGATAATCTACACACTATTAACTTTCTTCATTTAAAAATGATCTGAAAATATCTAAATGTTGTCATTGAGACGGCAATACTGACAGAAGTCTAAAAAATGTTTTATTCTGAAAATGTAATGAACCTTAATAATTAGTAGTAGTAGCGGTTGGTACTGGCCCAGGTTGGGGACCAGTGCTGTAAAGAACTGTCCCCAAACAGTTTAAAATAAACAGAAACACATTTTGTCCCCATTAGAGGATTGTTTATAATGTCAATATTATATAGTATTTACAATTACCCATTGACTTTGGCAGTAACTCCATACAAATGTCCTTCAGAATAATGAGTTGTAAGAAGTTTTCAGAATCAGAACTACTTTATTGACCCCTGGGGGAGGAACGCTGGTGGTACAGCTGCTCCTGCAGAAGTATTTTATGGAAGTGAAAAATGTAACAAAAATAAGATACGTAGAATAAAATATAAAAATGGTCCGGAATATATTCAGGGTAGAAGGTGAATAGTGTAGTGACCTGGTCCAGTTGATAAAATGTAATAAATAATAAAAACAGACCAGAGCAGTGGTGTGAGCTGAGATTAGAAACTGGCAGATGTGCTCGTTTTTTTACTATGACAACTAAATTCATCATAACAACTATAATGACCACAACGGCCATATTGACCACAATAATTATACTGACCACTACAACTGACCATTGTGACAGCAGGCACCTCAGTGATGCAATGACTTCTATTAAAGACAACTACTACACTACTACTACATTCACTACATCGATGCTATATAAACTAATACTACGATGTTGTATAACGCTAAACCTGTTATTGACATCGGAGTTTTACAAACATTGGTCATGGCCCAGGAATAACAGCCACTCTCATTTTTACTGGTGATGTTACGACCGGATGGAGACTTTTGACTCATTTAACAACCACAAGGGGGCGCAGCAGAGAGAGTAACCTGGGGTGACACACTTCTGTTGACCCAGCACACAGCACACACCTCTGTGTCCTTGTTAGCGGATTTTAGCCATGGATTTTGGCAAAGGAAAATGTGCAGTTTGCATATGTGCATGTTTGGCCACCGGAGGCTGTATAACAGCCAGATAAAGCAGCGACATTTTTTAAGATATTGTAGACTTAAGCAGTCATTGATTTTATCAGGTCAACTTTTTGTTAAGTGGCTAAAAAGGGCAAAGTCTCAGCCTTTTTCCTGGCAGCAGCAGCAGCAGCAGCAGCAGC